ATTTATTGCAGTTAAACTGCAAAACCGTGGGCTTCCAAAGTCTACCCGGGCGTGGGCGAATAAAAATTTTGGTGGTTTTGGGTTTTGGCACACTTCCGCCAAACAGGCGCCGTACGGAATCGAGTACACCGCCCGGCAGAACCGCCCGCCTCAACATGGGGTGTCACACAACCGCACCACGCATCCGCATTTGCATTCTGCAAGGACGCATCGTGTTGGTTGTTCAATTGACCACTTACCAATACCTTGTATCCATGGATTGCGAGGCAAATTCAACCTTAAGACGACGAGCTGAAAACACGCTCCACTTCTCTACACTGATACCTTACCCCGCGGAAGGCGGATCGAATGTTCGATGGAATGTTTGGCCAAGACCAGTGGAGCTCCGGCAACTGCAGTGTCAGTCGCCCCTGAGCACTCGCGTACCTTGGGAGTTTGGTTTTGACGACTGCCGTAACTCTGCGCACAAGATTGCTTCGCTCGACTCACCTCGTCTTTGCTGCCTTCTTCTTGTATCCGTTTTCACCGATGCGACTACAGATTTTTAAAGTAACACCCGGTTCCCACGAAACTGGCCGTATCCCATTTTGAGTCTTACGAGGCGGTGCAGCTCCAGTCGGTCAAGGAAAGCTTCTTGATACATATGAAACGGTGATTCTACTTAGGACTGGAGCGTAGCATCGGCAGTGGGATCGCGCTGATTTCCTCGTACCTCAGGAACATAGCCAAAAAGCACAGCCAGGGTACTTAGGCGAGAGCCTGGCACAGCAAGGAGCCAAGGCCCTCCGCACTACATTAGCACACCAAGGAGTTCAAGACAGTCAACCTGATATGCCCCTTTATTTTTGGGCGCGTCTGCGCTGTGCCTCAGGCTCTTGCTCCGGAGTGCTCTGGAATCGTTAAATGAACGTCGGCAGTTGACTCTTTGTATGTGGAGGGATGGGGCAAACAGAATCAGAACAAGCAAATGGCCCCTCTTGCTGGGCAAACTCATGATTAACATTTCCCCCAGTTCGATGAATGGGAAACGAAACGGCCAATACTGTCATCGTGGCGTGACTGATGAAGGTCACTGGCAATACTGGCCATCTATAGCGACGGATAAGGACCCTACTCGGCAAATTCTGGTAGCTCCTAGCCGCCCCTCTACCAAGATCAACTTAGGAGACTTCCCGACTATACCCCTTATAAAACCCCAAATTCACCGTATGCTCCTGAGAAGTGCAGCCATGGGCCTTTCTTAACGTCGGGTCAAGGGATGGAAAGTCACAGGGATGCGAAACCGGTAGAGCGCAGATGAGATGAACGCTCCCGGATCCCTGAGATATGAGATGTTTCATGCTCGTTTCCTCTGGCTTTTCACCTAATATTTTGGACGGCTGGCAGCATCGCATACGTACCCCCCTGCTCGTGTCAAACAAACCTTAGTTATGAACTTATGACCTCCCAGGACACTATAACGAGCCCTGCGTTTTCTTGGTCTTGCCGATGAGCTGAGCTACTTAGGTCTGAGGTTGTATCCCCAAGACTTTGAAGCATCTTCTAAGGGACCAAACCAGGTAGCACCCGCGTAAGGTAAGTACTGTCCTATCCTGATCCCTCCACGCCACTACTACCGAGGCAGGAGGGGGCCCATCAATCCAGCTGCTCGGACTTGCTACAGTCATGAACTTGTGACATGGGGAGACGGTGATTGCCAAGAAGAGACCATCGATATCCTTAGTTCCACGAGCCGATTGAAGGTGTTTATCTCAAAGTTTCGAGGTTTCGTACCGTACCTTGCAGTTCCAAGGTTAATAAGGTCCGTTGTGTCCAGTGCAGTGTTGGTCCTAGGAAGCCGTGTGGGGTTCCCCGCATTTGGCTTGGCATCGACCCCTGTCCTTAAGGTAACATGTGAAGCCACTCATCCAGACCCCTGCATTTCTGGAACAAATCGTGCGGATCAATTGCGAACGTGTTCTGTGTTCAGATGAAAGCCAAGCGCCAACCGCTGAAGCTTCGCTGACCGAGTGCAAAGCTCCACTCGACCGCGATGAAGCTATAGCTTCTCCTTGTTCGGATACCCTTCCCGGAACGCCTGCCGCAAGCGTAAGGTAGTTATGGCGTCCGGACGCCAATTACACTTTTTGCTCGCCTTTTTCTACTTCAATGCCCTGCTTTTTGGGCTGGGGTCCGCTGCAGCTGCCGACGAGGGCGAGTCGATCCTGCACAGCGAAATCGGGCGGCAGAACAACCAAAGCCTACTATGGGGCCCCTACCGCCCCAATCTCTACTTTGGCGTGCGGCCCAGGATACCCAAGAGTCTGATGACGGGCTTGATGTGGGGCAAGGTCGAGACGTACACAGATTTCCAGAACAGTTGGTCCCTCACACAGAACTCACCAACCCTGATTCGCCTGCCCGCAGTCGACTGACAAGAAGGCGCATGATGCAGCGGTCCGGTACACGTGCGAGCAGAATGAGGGCATGAAGGGCTACGGCTGGGAGGAATACGATCCTAGAAAGGGCGGTGTCCAGTCAATTCATGATATTGAGAACGGCATCGACATCACCACTTCTTTCGTCAAGATCCCCGGCGGCGCTCACGGCGGCAACTGGGCGGCTAGGATCAAGGGTGTCATTAACGAGGACTCGCCCAAGGATCAGAAAACGACTGTCATTCTTTACGTCACCCAGGAAGGGGGCGATTCGGAGCTTCAGGCGCTGCCGGGCGACGACGACACGGGCTATGAAGGCGATGTCACGCTCAAAGGGCGCTCAGAGCCGTTGGGGAACTACAAGCTAGTCGTCACCAAGGGGGAGGGAGTCCAGCCCAAAAGTGACCATGGAATCTCCGAAATCCGCGGGCCTGGCCAGACAGTCGTGCAGTCCCTGACCTACCCCGACGAGGTTGTCTGGCAGGCGAAACCGATCCTGTTCAAGCAGCTCAAGGAGGGCGTCGATTTTTTGGTCGAGAACAAGTACGATGCCCTCAGCGCGCCCCCGCCGTGGCAGGTGTACCAGCTCGCCAACCGGCCTGGTGCTGGAAATGTACAGATCGTGCAGAAGACTTTTGAGGGCGACTTTGAGTTTGATATTCTTTTCTCTAGCGAGTCTATGGGCAAGGATATTACGAGCGACGATCTGGCGAGGGAAATCAAGGAGACGACTGGGGCATTTGGTGAGCGCTTCTCGAGCGTCTTTGCTCTGAAGGCCCCGTACAATACCGATAAATTCAAGAAGTTTGCCCGCAGTATGTTTTCCAATCTAATTGGAGGCATTGGGTATTTTTATGGGCAGTCCGTGGTCGACCGCTCGTATGCGCCTGAGTACGAAGAGGAGAACGAAGGCTTCTGGGAAGAAGCTGTCGAGGCCCGAGCTCGCCGGCAAGAGGCGCTGGAGGGTCCGTACGAACTATTTACGAGCATCCCGTCCCGGCCTTTCTTCCCTCGGGGCTTCCTGTGGGACGAGGGCTTCCATCTCCTTCCCATCGCCGACTGGGATATGGACCTTGCCCTGGAGATCATTAGGAGCTGGTTCAATCTGATGGACGAAGACGGGTGGATTGCCCGTGAGCAGATTCTAGGCGCCGAGGCCCGGAGCAAGGTCCCGCAGGAATTCCAAACCCAGTATCCTCATTACGCAAACCCGCCCACCCTCTTCCTTGTCATTGACGGATTTGTCGAGAGGCTCCGCAAGATGAATGGAAGCATGCCCGCTGTTAGGGAGCGCCTCTCACAAGACGAGTTTCTGGCAACGGCATCTCTTGATAACCCGGAAGTCGGCTTGGAGTATCTCCGGCGGCTGTATCCACTCCTCCGGCGCCAGTTCTTCTGGTTCAAGAAGACCCAATTCGGCGACATCAAGTCGTACGACCGCGAGGCCTACTCCTCCAAGGAAGCCTACCGCTGGCGCGGCCGCACCGCCACGCACTGCCTGACGAGCGGACTGGACGACTACCCGCGCCCGCAGCCGCCGCACCCAGGAGAGCTGCACGTTGACCTGATGTCCTGGGTTGGAGTGATGTCCAAGTCGCTCATCAACATCGCCGACGCGCTCGGCCTGGCCGAGGACGTCAGCGAGTTCAAAAAGACACTCGACGCCATTGAGCACAATTTGGTTGACCTCCACTGGTCCGAGAAGGAAGGCTGCTTCTGCGACGCCACCATTGACGATTTCGAGGAGAACAAGCTTGTCTGCCACAAGGGCTACATCTCCCTGTTCCCCTTCCTCGTGGGTCTGCTCAAGGCCGACGACCCCAAGCTGGGCAGGATCCTGGCGCTCCTGGGCGACGAGGAGGAGCTCTGGAGTCCGCACGGCCTGCGCAGCCTGAGCAAGAAGGACGAGTTTTACGGCACCAACGAGAACTACTGGCGCAGCCCGGTGTGGATCAACATCAACTACCTTGCCATTGTCCAGCTGCATGTAAGCCACTCACTCCCTCCCCTTGTGTATTTTTCTTGCCCGCCTATTTGAACCTGATCTGACCAGACCGACGCAGAACATTGCAACCCAGGACGGCCCGCACAAGGAGACGGCCCGGGACCTGTACTCGCGGCTGCGCAGAAACATTGTCGATACCGTGTACAACAGCTGGGAGGAGACGGGCTTCGCGTGGGAGCAGTACAACCCCGAGACGGGCAAGGGCCAGCGCACCCAGCACTTCACTGGCTGGACGAGTCTGGTGGTCAAGATTATGGCCATGGAGGATCTTGGAGGGACCGGGGCAGGGCACGTGAGAGACGAGCTGTAGTAGGTGAGACACAGCATCTAGTTTAGAATAGATAGGGGCGGTTAGGTGACTGGACACAAAATTTGTAAAGTATCGGATGGATTGGACGGAAAAGGCTATGAAAACTGATCATTCGTGGTTATGGCTCAGGCGTCATCATGCATAGGACTAGTCTTCGATTCAGGCAGGGTGTAAGTGATTCAGGGCTTAGGCCATGTGCTCCATGGGTTTAGCAGGCGTAACTAAACGGCAGTCAAGTTTTGAATAGTACATTGCTAATGCCATGACAATTCCACAGTATGCTCACAATTCCGATTTCAGGTTATATCTGCTTCCAGGCCTCCATGCCCTTGGTGACCTCACTCTGCATACCAAAAAGCAAGACACAACTACACCGAACTGTACATGGATGAAGTCAGGTTAAAGGTAATCATTTCCCCCGGGTACCTGCCAAACCGTCCCCTTTCTTAGCAACCTCCTTCCTCGGCAATACCTCCACTTGCCGGGTAAGCAACCGTCTAAGCTCAGGTGTAATCACCCTCTCGCGCTGTTGCTGTTGCTGCTCCGGAGACTGCTGCGGCTGTGCAGGAGCTTTGCCCGCATTCCCACTTTCTCCTCGCGGTGAAGTCGGGACTGTAGCCGTAGAAGAATTTGACCCTGGGCTCGGGCTCAGACGCGGCCTGGGAGTAGGGAAATGGCCCCTCTTATCGACAGCGTCCACAAGGCGCTGGAAGCGCTTGAAAAGGGCCTCGGCGCGAATGAGCGTCGAGTCCAGGTCGATCGTGCCTGACAGTTCATTCACTGGAAAAGGGACCATTAGCTGGAAGGGGGAACCGGGAGGGGAGGTCCATTGGGATCGGGATGGGGGTGCCGTACCGTATTTCAGCACCTCGTCGAAGTGTTTCAGATGCGTCATGATCACATCCCTATGCTTCTCGAGGATGGCGAGCGCCACAAACAAGTGAAAGCTGCTGCTCAGATAATCGGTCCAAAGCACCTCCCAGAGATGAAGCACGTCCATCCAGCCGAACTCGCGCTTGTACCACACCAGCAACATGCGGAAGAAGAAGAAGAAGTTTGTGCTGTCGGCCGACTCGAGGTGGGCGTACAGCTTGGGGTCCATGAACTGCACGAGGTGGTCGAGGGTGCGCAGCTGCGTGCGCATGCCAGACTGGTCGCGAAGAAAGTTGCGCTCCATCCGGTCCATGAAGTTCTTGAAAGCCCAAAAAGCTATGGCATCGTCTTGGAGGACCGCGTAGATGGGCGCTAGGAGGTCGGACATTCCCTGCACGTAGCCCAAGTCCCGGTTGAACTCGTTATAGGTAAGCAGCATGTCCTTCAGCTGCTCCATATGCACGTTGGTGCCCACACTGGCGAAGGGTGAGTCCGGGTCGGGATGGGGGATGTCTTCGCCAGCGAAGATCGGAACATTTCTGTCCGTACGGTGGACGTCCTTCTCTGCTAGAGGATTAGAATAATTGGTGGAAGAGTCTTGACAGGAGAGGTGGAACGTACCTATCCTCCCCCTTTGCTCCCGCCACCACTCGCCTTCTTCACCATCACCGCCCTTGTCGATTTGGCGCTCCCACCAAGCCCCCTTGAGCTTGATGTAAGCATCCCTCAGTGACGCCGCCTGAGCTTTTCGCTCGTCGCTCGTGCTGTACCATTCGTAGACCCCAAGGAGGAACAGCCATGCCTCCTTCCGCACCCCGTCTTCGGGATCGAGGCCGCCGTGGAAGACGCGCTCCTTGACCTCGTCAACGGTAACAGACAGTCGTCCCGTCCGGGGATCAAAAAAGCTCTTCCACTCTTTGAGGGTGACTGGCTTCCTCATCTGTTCCAGCGTCAAACCGCTCGTGCTGTCGAGCAGCTCAAACTCGCCCACATCAGTGTCCTCGAGCTCCAACACCTCACGCGCCGTCCATATCCTCTGATTCCGGTCGCGCTCGCTCTGCTCCGCAATGCCCATGGCCCACCTGGCTAGGTATATTCTGGCGCTATCGAATTCTTCTTGTAGCGTTTGTACCTCTGGATTTCTCAGCAGCCTCCTGACCTGCGGGGGCATCCTTGGATTATCCAGCACGTCCTGCGCAGCTTGTCTGGTGAATGTTGTCACCTTACTGAACTTCTCCATGATATTCCACCCGGTCTCCTTGACGAACTTCATGAACGGGTCCATCCCACCATCCTCATTCGATCCGACGCCCGTGGAAGGACCCGCCACTCCCCAACCCCCACCGCTCCCAGGCCGGCCCCTCGCGGCCGTACTCCCGCCTCCCGTGACTTTTCCCCCAAACGCCATACTATCCTCCTCGGTGGGCTCGATCAAGTAGACATTCGGCTCGGCCAAGCTCCGCTCGACAACCACATACCTCCTCAACCAGCGCAACACCTCGTCCCCGCCCCAAAACATCTCGCCGGCCTCGCCAAAGGGGTCGAACCTCTCGCGGGCGCGGCGCTTCTTTTGGAGGATGGTGCTCTGGCACTCATTGTCGTGGAAGAAGAGGGCGGGGAAGCTGTCCCCCGCGCGCGAGTTGATGATGACGCTGCCGTACCACCAGCCGACGCTGGGCGGGCGTACCAGGAGGCTATAAACGAAACTGACGGGGATGGCGAAGGCATACTGCCCGACCGAGGCCCGGTGCGCCGTCACGGTCGGCGGCGGCGGCACCAGGTACGACTGTTTGGGCGGTGAGTCGCCGTCGCACAGGTCCACTTTCACGTAGATGGACGCCGCGTCTCCGAGCTGCGACTCCGGGATCCAGGCGAGCAGCAGGTCTGACGCGGCCGGGGAGGGACGGTCCTTGGACTGCGAAGAGGAAGGCCGGTCGGCAGGAACAGGATGCTTCTGCTGCAGCAGGGCTATGTAGCCCGGTATGTTGTCCCTTGCCGACGGGGTCGGGTGGATGTAGACTTTGGACTTGGAGAAGAGCAGCTTGACGCCGCGGCCGGTCTCGGTATGAGTGATGGTGTCATAGTCGCCTTCTTCGTCGTCGCTCATGGCGTAGAAGCTGCCTGCCGGAGATGCGGGACGGGGAGGGACCGAACGGGAGGGGAGGGACGATGGGGCCGGAGTTGCAGTGTTAGTTGCTGTTTGATGCGAGGCTGGTGGTGGATTGGATGATGACGACGTCATCTTCAAGATCCTCGTCATTTTCGACGATTACCTCTCCGCGCCGCTCAGTGCTCTCTTTCTCGCACTCGACGGAGGCGGACGGGCCTTGGTTCCTTGACTAAGGTGATTAGGTCGCTAGCTTATGGAAGCTTCGCCTTTGGGAATCAAGGGTTGAGGATTGGCATCTGAGACACATGGTTTGACGGCAAGATACCATCAGCAGCCTGGTGGCAGGTGCTGTTGGTGGCGGCCACGAGATCCATTTATTGAACGGCCCCGCGCCCAGTTGTGCAGACGTGGAGGGGTCAGGAGAGGCAAACTATGTACCGGTACTCTCATGCAGGGCCAGTTTAACCCTAGCCACAGGTACCTCTACTTTTAATTCGCGGGACCCAGTTGCATTTCGCCTCCGATGCGTACTCCAAGGCAGAGTCGTCGTCATCTGGTGTCGACACCTTGGAGGACGACCCCCCTATATTATCGAACGTTCACTACTAGACAGGCTTGTCAACATCCGCCAAACGAGAAGATTCGAAAAGTATATAAGTAAACTTAAGAAATGCACACGCTGCATTATCCACCTCTTGGTGCTATTTCCAAAACGTCGTCTTGACTCCGTTTGTAGCCAGTCATGGATGAGGATATTCGCTAGGTAAAAGATTCAAGACCTGTTCATCCGACCCATAACGCCATGGCCGCGTCTCCTGCCATCTACCTTCCACATCCAGGTTCCGATCTGTTTCTCTCTCAGCAGTCGTTATATCATGGTATCTTCTATTGGCCCACAGAAACAACGTGCCGCGTACGCAAGCTTCGAAGTCGGCCTTCCGCCGACAGAACAACTTCCAGTCCTGTATCCGGGCAAACGAGATGTCCCAGTCATGACATGCCGTTTCCGCGCATAGTGTTGGGCCGCTAGCCTCTTGCTAGCCCGTAGCTCTTCGTGACCTGACATTGACCCCCGCAACTCCCTTCCATCCTGCCGTCATCTCGGACGTGGGCCGCTCGGTAACCCAGCCCTGGGTCCGTTCGGCAACCCATAGCTCCTCCCACCTGCATTGCCGCCCGCACTCCCACTACCACCCGGATAATCATAGCCTCCGTCCGCCCACGGCGCGTTGGCGCTCATGACAGGTCGGTCACTCCGCCTCCCCCCGTCGCCCGCCGAACCGCCGCTCCCACCACCACTCCCCCATCCCCATCTATTCCCTCCCGCCTGCTGCTGCTGCTGCTGCTGCTGTCCCGCCGCCGGCGGCTGGAACGGCCCTCCCGCAGTTGGACTCGCCGTCCTAGCCCCTCCGCCCCAGAGCCTCTGCTTCAGCTTCTCCTGCGCACTAACACCGGACGATGCGCTCGCTGTCGGGCTTATCGCGCCAGCCCTCCCACCACTGCCAGGTGTCAGATCACTCGCCGCCGCCCTCTGTGCAAGCCCAGGCCGCGCCCCAACACCACCACCACCACCACCACCACCACCGCTGCCGCCAGCAGCAAACGGATTCCTACTATTCACAAACTGACCCCTCCCCGCACCACCACCACCAGCACCAGCACTACCACTATCCCCCCACAAGCTACTCAGTCCGCCACCAGCAGCAGCAGTCTGACCGGCTCCTCCTGCTCCTCCTCCAAGAGCGCCGTACCTGCCCAGCTGGGGCTGAGAGGCGCTTTGCAGCGGCTGTGGGGGCGGGGCCTTTGGGTCAGGCGGGAGCCAGTTGGGTAAGGGTTGGCCCTTTTCGGCGTAGTAGGCGCGCAGGACGCGGCAGACGTGCGTGTCGTCCTCCGTGTCGCCGTCGGCGTCGCCGCTGAAGTAGGTGCGCTGGAGCTTGGAGATGTTGGACGACGCGTTGGTCAGCAGGTTGCTGTACCACGACGACATGATGGGCAGACAAGAGAGATTTCTGACGACGAAAACGACGGCGACGACGGCGGAACCGATATGGCAGGGCGTAGGGAGGAAAGGCGACGTGTTCCTTTTTGCGTGTGTTCTGACTGAGTGCTAGCGGGCTGTGGTGTCTGTTCGGCTCCGAAAACTCGCTATTTGGTCGATACTTCTTGCCAGTTACGTTTTGCAAGTATATGTTTGTAGTTCGCTCGCACTCATTCTTTCTGATATAGGTCGTGTATACTCGGCGGAAAAGGTATTTTGAGTCGGAGGGCTGGTGGATATTACGGCGGTCGGTCGCGAAGGGCTCGACTGGTTGATTGACTCTCAGCTTCCGGGTAGTGTTGTGAAGTGTTTTCTTAGAGACCAGCGCTATAGGGTCTTCGAGTCTTGTGTGACTGAAGAGGGGAATGCGCTGTGTCCCAAGTAGGAGAGTTGATGAGGTGTTATGGTGGAGATTGCAAGAAGTTGGCCTCTTGTGGGCGCTTATGCTCGGGCAACGTATTTCATGCAGTCACTCAGGGCCTCTCAAGCGGTTTCAAACCGCACACATAACAGTAACATTACCCCACTTCTGATGTTGTACGACCTGCTTACTCCGTATGTACTTGGAATCAAGCTATTGTGGTTGTGCGTTGCCTGCTCATACTGAATTTATAGCAACCGCAAACCCAGAGCAAGTCCTTAGTGCCGACAGAATGGAGGCTCGCACATTGCGTCCTGTATTCAGTACGCAGCGGGAAATTTGCATGCCCACCCTTGACATGCAACCAAACCGCGCCCCTCCCTAACCAAATCCTGTAGGCTAGAATGCAAGCAGCTTCGACCTCTCTGTTTCCCTTTCCACCTCGATCTCCTTCTTTTTCCGCGCCTTCATCTTCACCACCCGACCTCTCTTCCGCTTGTCGCCAGCCTTTGACTTCTTCTTCACACCTTCCTCATCGTCCCCATCACTGTCCTCCTCATCATCCTCATCCTCATCGCTCTCCTCGCTGCCAAGCCAGTCCTCAATGTCGGCCAGCTCTTCATCGTCGCTCTCGTCAAAATCGGACACATACTCCACCGCACCATCTGGTTCCTCGTCCTCCTCTTCCCGCTCCTTCTCGAGCTCCTCTTCAGACTCGGCCTCCTCATCCTCCTCAGCTTCAATGCCCTTGTCCATATCCTTGTCTCGGACGCCCTCACCCTCCTTTTCGAGAGCATTCAGCACCTTCTTCCAGATGTTGGCGTTGCAGTTCAGTGGCTGATCGCCGTATGCGCCTTGCCGCAATCTGTCAAGGAGTTCTCTCTCGATGGTCCTTTCCAGCTTCGCGGCCGCCAACGCCTTGCGCTCTCTCGCCTCTTCGCGGTGCTTGATTTTGGGTGCCATCTTTGGCACCAGCTGTTCACCCAGTCTAGCTTCCTCCGCCGCTATCCTGCGCATCCGAGTCGCCACCTGGACCAGCCGTGTGAGACGTTGTTTGCACTTGTGCTGAAGGAATTTCGGGAAGTATTGGAGCCGCTCCTCGATTTGCTGTAGGGCTTGTTGATAGTTCTTGGAGAGTTTGATCTTCTCCCACCATTTCGAGGGCATGTGAGATCTCTCGATCTGCCAACCGAGTTGTGTCAGTAAGTTTCAGGCTATGGCACATGAAGAGCCAGGGCGAACACTGGTTATGGAAGCACGTACGGTCTTTATGTATAGATATATGGTCCCTTTGGGTGATGTCCGAACTGTCGCATACCGACTGTTTGCCAGCGGGCAACTTTGCCGGTTGCACAACCCACTGACCTGTCTCGCATGTTAGCCAGCAAGCGATAAACGTCGCGGTAGGCGAACACACCGAGTATTCATTTCTGCAAAAGTTGTTTCCTTTGGTTGTCCTGAGAGAGGTTAGGACGTGATGAGTAGAGACGAGCGGCAATGAGGCCTACTTCAGCTTGAAGGCACAAAACTGTTCTGCGCATCTGCGTTAGTAGGGTGCGGCGAATTTAAGAGCAGGCTACTCCTTACGGTTTATAATCTGCCATACTATTTCGTCAGACATGGTGGATGTGTCAACTCCGGTACCCTGGCAGAATCTGGTCGAGATTTGAATGATGAGAACTTGGGGAAGCTCGCCGCGCCGCAATTACGAAGTTGTCGACGTTGGAGGGGTGTAGCAAGTTGAATCGCGGTGATGGATAAAAATTTGGGATCCAGTCCGCCTCCAGAAAACTGTGCTGGGCCCAGTGGCTTTATCTTATCTCTGCATGACTGACCAATTACAGTGCCAATTGAACTCGTTGGCACATTCGAATGGAGAATGGATGTTTTGGCCCTTTTGACTCCTGAGTACTCTCAAAACTCCTAACCACAAATTCACAGTAAGGAAGCAGTGAGTCGGGACCTACTCCGTACATGATTTGTACAATCAGTCTTAGACGCCAAAGTCAATGTTCCGCCATGCACTGCGAATAGCTTCATCTTGTCGTCGAGCGGATTATAAGGCGGGCATAGGCCTCCGACATCAGTCATGGCCTGTTGTTTACGTGCGCATTCGCGCGCTCACTGGTGCGCCCTTGGTCACTGACACCAGGTCGTCGACCCTCGGCAATGACACCATCTACGCCCTGTCGTCCGGCTCCGGCAGGGCAGGAATAGCTGTGGTTCGTGTATCTGGGCCTGGCTGCCTAGATGTAAGACTGTCTCTTCAGAATATTGAAATTCATTCTGGGTTGGTTGAGGTTCTATCCCTTCTAAGTTCTAACCCTAGTCGCTGCAGGTCTATCGAGGACTATGTCCAACCAAAGCTCCACCCAAGCCAAGGTACGCGGGTGTAAGGACCTTGTTTGAACCGGGCTTCGCCCATGTTCCTGATGCCAATATTGTCGATTCCGACTCCCTTATTTTATACTTTCCGGGCCCGAGGACTGTAACTGGAGAAGATGTCCTAGAGCTGCATGTTCACGGAGGGTCCGCGACCGTGAAGGCGGTACTTTCCGCCATCGCCAAATGCTCATCTCCAGCAAAGATTCGATATGCCGAGCCAGGAGAGTTCACCAGACGCGCGTTTCTCAATGGCCGGCTTGATCTCGCCCAAGTCGAGTCTCTGGGCGATACGCTTGCTGCCGAGACTGAGCAGCAGCGCCGGGCAGCCGTCCGTGGCAACTCGGGCGTTCTCGGCAAGACATACGAGGTCTGGCGTGAACAGCTACTTCTGGCTCGTGGCGAGATAGAGGCGCTCATAGACTTCTCTGAAGATCAACACTTTGACGAGTCACCGGCGGAACTGCTTACCAACGTTAAAGCGATGGTTGAGCAGATTCTTCACTCTATCCAGCTTCATAAGCTTGGCAGCCAGAGAAGCGAGCTGCTTCGGCATGGAGTTCGAATTGCCCTTTTGGGGCCGCCCAACGTCGGCAAAAGCTCGTTGATGAACCAAATTGTTGGCCGCGAGGCTTCCATCGTCTCTTCCGAAGCAGGAACCACTCGCGACGTTGTCGAAGCAAGCCTTGACATTCGGGGTTACCTATGCTCCTTTGCGGACACCGCCGGAATCCGGACCAAGTCGGTTAGTAATCCGGACGAAACTCCGGCATCAACAATTGGCGCTATTGAAGAGGAAGGAATTCGAAGAGCACGACGAAAGGCACTGGATTCAGACGTTGTCATCGTTTTGGCGTCCGTCGAGCCGACCAAAGGCGGCGGTCATCGAATAAGCTACGATACTGAGACGCTACAATTGGCAGCTGGTGCGCAGCAGTGCTTGGTTGCGGTGAACAAGAGTGACGTGGTGAGCCCGGAGACGCTCGAGCGGCTTATCCAGGATTTCAAATCTTCGGCATTAGAAAGCACCCCCGGCCTCAGTGGCAAAGAGCCGCTCACCATATCCTGCAAGGCTGCAGCATCACCGCCAACTCCAGGGCTGGTTGATCCTGGGGGTGTCCATGGACTCACTGAGAAACTGGTTGAGTCGTTCTCTCACCTGACATCGCTACCCGGCGACATGCAGCACCTGCTTGGCGTTACCGAACGACAGGTTCAACTTCTTTCCGAGACGGAGAAACATCTCCAAGATTTCTTGACTGCGGCACAGACCGGCGGTCCCGACGGCGAGGCTGATGTCGTGCTCGCTGCGGAGCACTTGCGTCTTGCCGCCGCCCAGCTCGCCGCCATAACTGGACGAGGAGAATCCGGAGATGTCGAGGAGGTTCTAGGAGTCATCTTTGAGAAGTAAATAGTTTCTCCTGCATTTCCTCAGGTTCCTTTCGCGCTAACCGAGTATTCTAGGTTCTGTGTCGGAAAATGATTGTGAAATTCTCTTCTAAAATCTAATACAAGAGAAGGTGTTTTACACCACCCCGCGAGGGGTCGAAAGTCATGAACCCGTTCTAGCGGCGCCTATCCAAGCCAAATGCGCGAGCATGCCGTCGTCCGATCTAAACCCATCCCTCTATGTCTTCTAGTTGTACAATGTAACCGAAACGTGGGAGAAGAAGCTGCAGCGCAACCAGTTCCCCCGAACCACTCAGGTGCTGTCATGTATTATCTGGTTGGCGTTGCCGCGGTTCGAGGGCCTCGATAGGCTTCGAAGCTGTTTAATGCTGCTTATCCTCCTCGTCGTCCTTGTCATCCCTATTGAGTGGTCAGTCCCCTGTTTATCATTCACTTTGCGGTATCAACCAAAGGTGAACTCACTTATTGTAGCCCGAGCGGCCATAGTTTCGCATCTTGTCCTGCTCATCATCATCTGAGTTGCCCCTGGACAGTTCTTGTTAGCTCATGCTCGACTGAGCCTTGTTTTCTTGTCACTCACTTGTTGTAGCCGGAGCGGCCGTAGTTGACAAGGGAGCTGGTGGTGAAGGAAGCGGTAGCAGCCATTGCGAAATTGGTATTGAAGCTTGGAAAATGTAGCTGTCGGGTGGTCTTGATGGGAGTGACGAGAGTGATTAGAAGTTGTTGGAAGTTCTTGTGGTGACTGAGGCTTGTGAAGTTCAATTCTTTGCTTGTTTGTGAAGATTGCTGATGCTGACGATGGAAACAGGTCTTCAACCGGGGCATCACTGGACTTTATATAGACCCTGGAGAAGATGCCATTGCATTCTGGAAACAACATACAAGCCAACCACCACAAACTTGCTTTCCCTCCAAGTCGGCATATGTAAGGGGGCAATGCCTCACCCAGGCGGCTCGGGAAGCCCCAGGCAATGACATGACATAAGGCACATATGCAACGCTTCTCCACAAAATCCCAGGTTGCTTAGACATACTAGTGGGCGAACAGCTTTCCTGGTGTGTTACGGAGCGAACAGGCCCCCACCCCTTCGTACAGTATGACTCGACTTTGAGAAGGGCGGTGAGGTGTATCGCCAGGGACCGAGATACCGACAAGGAGGCTCATCCGCTCAAATCTGCACTGTTACGAAACTCGCGGTTCGGAATCGATGTACTGTGGTATCCATGGATGGATGCAGGAAAGTGGCAGATGCAGCGCCTCGACGCCGTGAGATCCGGGCGCCTTGGCCCTGCAGGACCATAGCGCCGAGTCCTGGGGGTGTTGGTTGTCAAAACGAAGGTACGAGCTATGTGGCTCTGACGATACACGTGTATGCGCATTAGTGTAACCGTCTTGGGGGCTGAAACCAGTTGATGGAATTTTTCTAGAAGCCTTAGGTAGCACTCCGGTAGGGCTGAGGCCTGCGACTGGCCCGTTTCTTGGATGCCTGGATGTCCTGTTGTGTAAGCACTAATAGTCACATCCATACCTTAGGTATGTACATACAGTACCTATAGGTGGTCAAGGCGGAGCATCCCCAGCTGGCACGCGGATTGAACCATTTCAGTCAGGTTGGCACTGCTGCACCGTTCGTACTCACGATTCTTAGCGCCGAACTTGCTCACCGTCTGTTGCCCCCTGCCGAAAACAGATGTGTACCTGGGCTACGTATGCGTAGGTAGGCGTCAAGCCTATTTTGATTTCCAGGTTTGTGGCATCGGCTCTCTCCTCTACGGTTCATCGCTCTGGCAAAGTTCCATCCTTCCCGTACTCACCCGTGATTAGTGTACTGTAGACCAGGACCATCTGAAATCCTGCCATAGGTACCGGGGATCGCCGGCCAGGACTTTCCCAATTTAGCCAGTTTGTCGATCAGCGGCCGGCCCGCTTTCCAGCACACCGGGTATGATCCACTGCCGGCCGATCCGCAAGCCCTGTACGCAGGGTTCTACATCCCGCAGCACGTGCTGTAAGGAACGATCCAGAAACGAATGCACTTCAAGTGAATTCCAGAATTTGGGACTGGACCGAAGGATGGACGTCTGAATAGGACTATGATATTTCCGCCTGACAATATGTCCTTACATTATGTGCTGTATGTACTCCGTAATTTCATACATTACAAATCGTTGCCCTCAAGCCCTCTTTCTTCAGCAGAACCGGATGGACCATTGGTTCCTGGTTGGCATGGGCGAGTTGTATCTCCCAGCAACCCGATCCTAATCTCAAAGACAGCAGAACTCGACTGCTGCATGACAAAGCCGCTTCACACATGACACGGGGACACTAATAAAGATACTGGATGAACAGCACCCGCGGCGCCCGAAGCTCGCTCACTTTGACAACGCGATTAACACCCATCTTGACATACCCCGTAGCCTGTATCCATTGGCAGTTTTTTTGGGATGACACCTTCAACATGACCATTCTTAGAAGAGATGACGCTAGTCGCTTACTATCATCCCCACCGGAATTCCGCTCTCCTCGTACATACCTTACACACTTATCACGGGTAAGGCCATTCCGGGCCCGCGGGAGGCTGCCGTCCCGGGGAAGAAGTACCGAGAGCAAGACTTCATGCTTACACTTACTGTCGCCGCAATGTCTTAAGCTTTTATCTACACTACTGTAGTGGATGAACATTAGACATATGCAGGGCAGCGCTGGCTGCCTTGGGCTGGAGCTGGGGTATCAACCCCCAGTGCCGCCACGTGTGGTCCAGCATGTCAGAACCAGCGGAACGAGCTGCCCCCACCCACTCTTGTCCCGCGTTTTACCATTTCTTCGGTGCCCTTTTGGGGGCCTTGATGTGTGCCAAGCACCAGGTTGTCGATTCCCGCTGCCGACGTGAGGGGGGAGAGGGGGTGGCCTCCGGCATCGATGAATGAAACCATCACTACCAAGTACGGTAGTTCGGCTGCATCGAGTTAGGCCCTCCTAGGCAACAATCCGAGGCTTAGAAATAGCCCTACGAGAACCGGCCTGTCGTTTCGAGACTCACGGCTTAGCTAACCACGAAACTCCGAATTCGCTTAGAAGCGCTCACCGAGCGTTACTCATCCCATCCCGTCTTTCGGTCCAGAACCTGTGTCACATCTCGACGAGGGTAGTGTATCCATGTCCTCGGTGAAGTGGCTCTGTTGAGCGGCCGCCTTCGCAATACCCGACTCGGCGCCGATCACTACGGTAGCCGGGGTAGGTAAGCGAAAATCACAAGCGCTGCGGGGGCCGGAACGAGCCGAGTTTCACTCCCGCACCCCATCTCGAGCCCATCAAATCCATCCCGGACCGGCGATTGGGCAAACTCTGTGCTGGAGGTATTGTATGTATACCGAGGTACCTCTCACCCAACCACCACTGCCACTAGATATCAGAGATCGCAGCGTTCCCATTCCCCCTACTTTGTAATGGAGCATGACCCTGAATTAGTTGGCTGCCAGGCCTCGTATTGGAACCATCAGTAATTACAACCTGAAAACCTCTGAGTCAAGGTGCTGTTAAGAGCGGTAGTCGAGAGGATGATTTTTGCACCTAAAAATTTCGACTTCTCTAACAGATGCCTTGGACATCGGGACCTCTCGAGGTAATTACGGTAACCCCCAATATGTACCGGTAGCCTTCATACACTAAGGTACAAACAGTAATCCGGATCTCAAGCCGCTGGATGGTCGCTGGATTCCATCTGTAGGGGTTTGGGCGCTCCACTTCTGCAGGGACTGGCCAAGGCAACGCTGCCGTTACATAGTTAAATCCGTTGACAGTTCCGCCTTACGGAGGTCCTGAGGTCGACACATGTCAACCCATAGACTATGCATGGGCTATGGGAGAGCGAGGTCATGTTCTGATTTTTCAAACTGCCTCACAAATTTGAATTGCATATCCTCACCACCCTCCCTTACAGCACTGCAACGGAAGCGACGGCTGTAAGCATGTTGGCAGCCCATGTCCGGTGCCCGAGATCTTAAGCACACGCCTTGCGCTCCGTCACTCATACTACGGAGTTGAGCGGATTTTAGAAAGGTCAAGATGATGTCTGGGTCGTTCTCACTCGGAATGCATCTCGACAATCCGATGAGGCGACGACATCCAGTATTTGCAATGTTTGCATCATGACTCACCAGGCGAGCTTGAAATGGTCGGAGCCTTGGTGAGGTGCTGACTACGACGGGAGTTACCTTATTCATCGGCCACGACCGGGTACTTAGCTATACCGGACATTAAATAAGAGATCTCTTAAATAAAGTACCCCCTTTTTCTGCAGGATCTGCTTAGAGAATTCGAGTGACTGGGGCGAAAAGATAAGGTTTTCTTGCTGGGGAAGTGATGCTACTCAAGCACTTTCAAGTTTCAACTGCTCTTCGCTGGCTGCAGAGGTTCATCAACGGTTGTATGTCTCTTAAGTTTCAACTTCTTGGGCGATAGCCCAACCTGGAAGTTGGCCTACTTCAATTACAACCTGGAATCATATAATTGTCTGTCTTGGAATATAGAGCCGCAGGTTCTCCCGACAGTATTGCGAGCCCGAGAACAGGGTGTAGCTGGTGGTCTTGGAGTCTTACTACGATATTCCCTCGGTTGTCGTTTGAATTGCCTGTCTACAATGAGGTAGTAGGTTTGAATTCATACAAGTTTACGTCCATCGGTCAGAAGTCTCACTTTCTCTCATAGTGCTCTGCGGTGCCTCGAGACTCGGGAGTCCCTTGGGCACCGGCAAATGGGCAATTCACTGCAGTGCAGTGGCACTGTAGTGATGCCACTGCCACACTGCAGTGATGCTGGTACTGTACAAGAATACCGTATGAAACATTTACGCACGGTGAAGGAGCTCGGACCCTTTCTTTCAAAATGTATCATCCATTGACCATTCTTTCTGTTCCTGAGCCTCAAATTTATCCAACCAGGAAGCTTCATCCTCTGCTCACCTGTGGGCGTTGCCTTCTTGAATTTGTGGCCCGATAATGGCCTGCGTTTGCGGTTGACAAACTCCAAGTCGCTCATTGGACCTCCCGCCGTTCCAGATTTCTCACTTTCTCTTTCTCTTCTTCTGTAACAGGGAGGCTCCGTCGGCCGCGCCCAATCACGATCAAGTCAGCTAGGTTTCCAGAGCTCCACCGTTCTCCAGCTTTGAGAGGCGACTGCCCTCAGCACCACACTAGGTAGGAGAAGGGGGGACCCCAGCTTTTGGCCTTACCTAGGAGAGAGCTTGTCCGCCATCTTTTTTGTGGAACCCCTCCTCGGTTCCCTTCACGATGCCGAGTAAGTGTAGATAATCCGTTTCTCTTCCTCTCCTCTCTTTTCTGTCTGCTGGCACTGCCCGCCCGTTGCTGCGTGGCCATTGTGCGCCTGTAACTGAGGCAGTGCGAACTCGTTTGTGCCTGTATCAGGCCTGCCTCTCCCACTTCAGTTTTACCCTCAACTGGCCTCACGTCGTTCTGTCAACTCCTACTGCCCGGCGCTGCGCAATCCCCAGCTGCTTCTGCATGCTGGGTACGGCGTTACGACACCACCCCGTACCTGAGCGTGTGCGACCCGGTCTCCCTAGAAGCGAGCGACTTATCTTGGATTCCCACCCTCGTTCAGGTTATCTGGTTCCGTGGGCGCTCGCTTCTTGCTGGATCGGGCAGAACTAGGAGGCCACTTACTCCCAGACCCCCTGCTTGCGACCTCCTAACCGATTGTTGCTAATATCACCATGGAAGATCTCACGGGGGACCCTTTTATTTTCAATCAGGGAGTGTACGTCTCTCCGAACCCTTCTTGCCCTTCCCGTCGCTAACCGGACCTCGCCATCAGAGGCTATTCAGTCAGCGAAATCGAAGACTGCGCGATTGCCGTCGACGCCTCATACTTCCTGCGACTCCATCTCGATGTCCTTCCCGGTCACGAGCCGCTTGTCCCGGCCCTTGGTGGCCTGACGGGCATCCATGGGCGTATCGAACAAGAGCTTGATCAATGGAAGGCGCACAGGGTTACTCCCTTCTTCATCTTCGACGGCCAATCCATTACCGGCCAAGATGAGGTGACGGTGAAGCGCGGTCTAGAGGCCAATGCCAAGACGGACATTGCCTGGGAGCTTTATTTTAACAGCCGTGCTGATGAGGCAGTTGCTGCGTTCGGCCAGAATATCAGTATGTGAGCCCCGTGTCGATTCGCGCAATCGTGCGCTAACCTTGTCAGATGCCTTTCGGCCCCAGGCCCTCTATCCTCTTCTCCAGTCCATCCTGAAGAAACGGAGCCTGCACTTCCTAGTCCCCCCGTTCAATGCCTCTGCGCAAGTGAGTTGCCTGAACAACATCCCCTGTAACAGCCTTCTGACCAGTGACAGATGGCATACTTTGAAATGTGCGACTCGGATCAGTGTGCGGGTGTCATGGGTTCTGCGGAGCTTCTCGTGTATCCTATCCGGGACTGCGTCATTCGCACGATCGAATGGGAGAGCAAGACAGTTTATGCTGTTTCAAAGAAACAGCTTCTGAAGACGCTGAACGTCAGTGAGTCGTTGTTTATCGACAGCTTCCTGATGACTGGGACCTCGTTCCTGCCGCCGTTCCCGCCCCTAGCCGACCAGTCCATCATCAAGAACCAGCCGTACACTGTGTCTGATGCGGTTAACATGCTACGGACCGCCGAGAAGTCGGTGACGATTGTCTGCACCAGCTTTCACGACATCTTGAAAACCCAAGACCCCAATTGGCTGGACAAGTATCGCAAGGCTCGGATGACTGTCGACCACTTTATATACATCTCAGAAAACGGCGAGATCAAGGTCCATGACTACGAGCACCTGACCAAGGATAATCACGAATATCTCGGCCTCCAGCTGCCCGCCGAATTGTTTCACTATCTCAACACTGGCCTGATTGGGCCCCGCATCCTCAGCTGGATCACCCATGGCCAGTTGCAAGTCCTGCCGACACTGGACGGAGTTGCCTCGGACGAGTACAAAAAGCTGGTTACGACTCAGTCAGTACGCATTAAGGAAGCGGCGCTGAGTCTGCTCATCCCTCGTCTACATCGTGGCATCGGATACAAGAATATTACCATGAGGGTGTGGTACGACCGCGACTATTCATACACAGTATGGGATCGCCACGAGTCCAAGGCGAGCTTTGGCCCCCAGGTCGCCAGCTGGTCCATCCGGGAGGCCGCATTTACAGCCCATTTCCCGCAGTTCGTGCACGGCTCGATCCTGTCTGAGGTTCTGGCACTGAAAACCCCAGCGTTTGTGTCCTCAACTCTGTCGAGCCAGAACCAGCCGCTAAAGAGCGTGGTCTCTGCCGACGTTATCAAGTCGATCTGCCTCTGGAGGTTTCTTCATATTCGGGGTTATGTCAATGACCAACACGAACTAACGAATTGGGGTTCTGCTTTGGCTGTCGCCCTTTCTGCTTTGGAGCCGACGGTCAAGCAATACCCTGACTTTCCTCATCTCTACGAGTCTGTCCTGGTTGCATTTGAGTTGATCCGCTTCGAGTTGCTCAACGCCAGGAATAAGCACGAGGAGCTCCGCGGCTTGCCTTTGAACGGCAACGAAGATGATCAGTCCAGCCTTCTGCTGATCAGCAGATGCGCTACCCTGTTGAAGCTGCGACACGAGGCAAACGGCTATACTGGTCCGCTCAGCAAGAACTTGCTGGCTTTCCGGTCGCTCGTGTCGGAGGTGCGATCTGCAGATCGTGACTTGGTGGAAGCAATTCTCGCCAGCATGTTCATGTATGCACAGGCGAAGCGGAACCGGAATGACAGTTGGGAGCTGAGTCATCAGTATGTTGTTCCATATCGTCCTCATGACGTCCTCTGTATTGGTTGTGCTAACCGTCTCACAGACTTCCCTTCCTCTACGACCCAGATGTCGCGCTTGGAATCGCTGTCAAGACGTACTTTGATGACATTTTGCCTAACGACCCTGACAAGGCCCAGAAGAAAAAGGCGTTCCCGGACTCATACGTACCGTTTGCCCTAGCTTTTGAGGAAGACCTAGATATCGCCTGCGCCTTCTTTGATGCCCTCTATGCGGGCGTCAAGACTTTGGACGCCAAGGACATCCCTGGCGTCGACCGTGCGACCTGGGATAAGGCGGCGAAATTCCTGGAGCTGAGGAGATAGACGGGCTGTCCGCGCTGGTGATATTGCTGACACCGCTGTGAACGACTCACAGGCCGCCTGGGAGTAAGGCGCCCGGAAATTCCCAGAAAGTAGGCGAGCGAGTTCCCTCAGCCAGATTTTGACGATGTCACGTCAATAATAAACTCTTTCAAGGAACATCATGTGGGCTGTCGAGATTGTGAATGTGATCCACCATCAAATAGGCTTCATGGCACAGATGGCATTCTCATTGCCACCTGTACTAGGCGACAAAGGCTTCCATAGAGTACCAAAAAATGCACCACAGACAACGCTCTTGACAGCTGTGGCCGAATATGAAAGTTTTGGGAAGTTAAGATTTTGTACAATTGCCCCCATTAAGGGGTTCCTCCTCACGGCAATAGGGATTATGATGGCCTCTTGGCCAGCAAATGACGTGTAAGATATCCGCACCGATCCATTCCCCTCGCGCGCTCTAAATATACCCCTTCCCCAAGCCAGCGCGTTGTGACAGAACAAGCGCCCCATTTTCCACTTTATGCGCCATACAAAAGCACCTATCCATGTGACTAGGATCTAGATATTCATGCGTACGCCCCTGGCGGGACCTTCGCTTTTCCGATGAACCGTGGTAGGTGCCAGTGGATTTTTGTACCATGAGGATCTCACATCTTCTCCTCTGGTCTAATGCCCTGTCCATACATGCCGTGTCATCTAGACAATCCGGAAGCCAGATGTTTATGCGCCGCCGACGAGGATATTGTTGAGAGGGACATGGACTTGTGGACGCCGTGTGTTAGTAAAATGCCTTATGAAACCTTCCATCAGGAACGCTGATGTGCTGCCCTCTTCCTCCTCGCTTCAAGTAAGAAGAAGGGGTAAAAGGGAATGGGAAAAAGGGGGGAGGTCGCTAGCATACTGAGCTTGACGAAGTAGCCGACTGCACCCATGACTGTGATCCGAGTTAGTACGCGCGTGCTACGTGGGATACTCAGTAAGGGAGGGGAGAAAGAGAAAGGGGAGAATCGTACCCAGGAAACCAACACCCACGGCTTGCGAGATCTTGATGAATTCGCGTCGGTCGGCTGGATTCGGTGCCAGGCCCTGAATTAGCGTCTACTCTTCGCATTGAAAGGCGGGAAAAGGAAGAGGCATACGCTTCTGGGCCCTGTTGATGAACTGGATGCCGTCCTTCAGAAACTCCCTCGGCACGTCAAGGATCTCTTGGACTTGGTCGGCCATTGTGATTTGTTGTGGTGGAGGAGCAGGTCGTGAGCTATGGACGAAATCGAGTAATGGCCGATAGGAAAGGACTGCCGATTCGACCTTTGAAAAGCGAGCTGTTGACGTCCGCTCGAAGACAGAGACCGTACCGTGTGTTGCTGCTGTGGTTGAGTCGCGTAAATTGTAGAGAGCTGGCAGCAAGAGGTCAATTGCCTTAACAAATGTGCCACATCGCCTCAAGAATCCAGCCCCTGGGAGGATGCCATGGCCCGTGCGCCGGAGAGCATGGGATGCTAAAATGATATGCTTAGGTAAGGTACTCCGTAGTTCGATCCGTACTTCGTAACATAATTGCATCCTAGAACCATTGCCCTTGCACCACTTGCCATAGAGAAGAGATGGAGGAAATGATGGTTATTGCCTTTCTTCCATTCCTTTTTCTATTTCCATTTTGTTTGAAATCCAAAATCTCGTTCCTTTTCCTGAAATGAAAAAAAGAAACGAAGCATACATCAGAGAGAGGAAAAAGAATGCAGGTTGTGGCTTTAATAACTACCTTCCGTACTCTGTACGGTGGTTCCGATTCAACCACAACCGCGGCCATGGCGGAAGCCCGGCCGGCTGTGGGCGGCCGGCATCCCCCGATCTGTTCGAGAAATCGGAAGATGAGGCCGGCCCACATCAAACTAATGGGCTGCACGCCGTCGGTACTCCTCACGTCTAGCCGATCTCCAACAAAGTAGCTGGTCGACACAGCGATTGGCTCGCCTGGATTCAACATCACAACTTTACTGCTCGAATTGATCAGCGCGGTAGATCGGTGCATATGTACTGCATACTAACCAGGCTGCGGAGCAACGCGCAAACTGCCGCAGCCATTGACATGACTAGCACACGGGTGAAGCAACCTGTTGGCAACATTTTTCATCAAGCAGCACAGACAAATGCGACAAACCAGGGTCGAGCGGGGACCAGAACAATTGGCCAACACTGGTTGTGGATGATGCAGTTCTGGCGAAGTGCTTGCTGCAATGCAGTGGGCCGACCAATGGAGCGCCAGCATCGTGGGAGATTCCGTCGTCAAGTTCCGGAAAGCGTCTCGCTTCCCTACGTAAGCCGCCCCCATGTCCTAATGACGCCGATGGGCGGTGAATCATGTCTCGGAGCTCTGAGCCCAACTCAACGTAGAGGACATTAACTTGCAGGTGACTTGCACCGGGTTGCATATCGCTCAACCAAGATCGTTAGGTCATCTGCGCTGATTAAAAAAGCCCGCAACCAACTCCTCCTCGCTCGTGTGTAGCTTCCATCCTTACCTTGCGCTCTTTGTCCCTCGCTCCTTTCCTTGCTGCACACAAAGGCACCACACAATAACCCAGCCCCTCCTCCCTCGACAAGGCGCTCAAAGCCGAGGCCTCTTTGTTTGGCCAGCAACGAATCCGCAATCGCCCAGCATAATTGGTCGGCGCTTGCTTGGCCTGCCGCGCGGCTGATTTTGGGGTCGGTGCCCCACAATCCTTAGCTCCACCTAGGTGAGCCAAACCGCCCCTTCTGTCCACTGATCAGCATTTGGAGATCGGAGCCATGCGACAACCGAAGCTTATACACCGATCCCTCGATGTTGAGGCAGCCCTGCAATGGCCTGGACCGGGGCGTTAGTTGAGACGCCATCCATCGTCCGATCTGAGAGCGGGATCAAGTGGGCTGTGAACTACCCCGGGCCGTCAAGTCAAGTGACGGGCCAGAATGGGTAGATTCAAGGTTGTCGGATGCTTTCACCTCGTGCTTTGTTCAGGCCACCAGGACAATACTTAAGACATGGACATCGTCACATAACTGCCACGTTTCGCAAGCTCTCTTCGTCATTTCCTATCGTCAAGGACTACCTGGTGTATTCCGTATTATTATTTCAGCATTCTCTTCGACAAGCGTTTCATATCCTAATCTTCACGTTCTGTGATTTTTCTGCTTGATCGCCTTTCTACCGAGAGACACTCGTTTCCCACAGTCTGCGCTCTCTTACCCATCATCATCACCCTATCAACTGCCCGCTACTCGGTATTTAATTTGGGCCTGTTATATAAAATTCCTGTCAAGTCGCTGGGATATCCAACCAGTTTGCCAACATGCGTAGATCGACGTTCAGCAGGAAAGCCGCTTCGAAAAGGCTTAGCAGATCAGCAACCATGGCCTACCTTCCTAGGAGCCCAACGCCGCTAAGCTTCCGGTCCAGTCCTTCGGGGTTCCCCGAGTCAATTTGTGGCAGTAAGTCAGGGCGAGCGGGTAAGCTTAACAAACAGTGGTATCTAATATTCACTTGCAGACCGGAACACATCACGACGGCATCCCGAGGCCCGGGTCGGCCCCGACGCCTGCATTACCCAAGAAGACGTTGACCCGGGTCTGGCCCTCTTGAGATACCGCAAGTCGATCCAAGCTCAATGGGAGCGGGAAGGCCCTTCGTCTAGTGCAGCGCACGATCGCCAGCTCAGTACCTCATCCACAGAAGGGGCCCTTGCTGCCTCATGCCGGGGTGCCGCCATATCCGGGTTTCGGTCGTCCAAGGACACCTATAGCACCGCTTCGTCTGACGGTGATAGGCGCGAAGAGGGCCGGAATTCGCGGCGTGGCCGGCACAGGAGGAACAGCTTTGTACGTTGGATATTGCACAGGTAGGCGGGATTTCCGCTGGAAGAGTATGTGTGGCAACACCATACGCAGACTTCCAAAAGCCGGCACAAACGCCACCATCGACGTACGAGGACGTCGCGGGAAAGATGCAAGATTTTGATTTATGAGCAAGGAGTTTGGTGTGTTCTACATGGCGGGGCAATTGGAAAATGACGACCGTCATGATACTCAGTTGGGAAAGGGGCTATAGCATGGATTGGAGTTGGGAGTTTGCGTTTTGTATACATGGGGGGAACGAACCGGCCATTCGTTTGGCATACACCATCATAATCGACGACTGTCATCTTCCGGTTATCCCGCAGGATCGGAACTACATACGCACATACTCTGAGAGTCTTTGACGGCCAGCAGTCAACAGTCTTGTTTTTTTGCATAGGAAAATCCTACAGCCCACAAGATGCATTTATAGCCATAGTATTAGGCGCTGTCTATGACACGCATTGACAAATGAGAATCACATTGATTAAATGCGGATTCGGAAATGGTCAGGAGAGGAATTTGGGGAAAGCTTAACCCAGGTATTAGCGAAGTTGTCATCCACAGATACTACCACCGCACTTCAGCCCCGAGCCCAGGGAATGGCTTGACTAGCTTCTTGTAGGTGCCAGCAGAATAGTGTAGTCAGAATGCATACTTCTCTTATTTCCTTCCCTCCATCATGGACCCCCGGAATAAACACCTAACAACCATCCGGCTCCCCCAACTCCCTATTCACTCAACCAACTAACTCCCCCGGTAGGTACTGTATCCGTACGGCGCGAGAAGCAGGGGGACATGGTACCGCTCGCCGGGCTTGACCGTGAAGGTGACGGTGACCTCGGGGAAAAAGGTCTTGTCGGGCCCGCCAAAGTATCCCGCCGTGTCGAACCGCAGCGTCCACCGGCTGTCGGCGGGCTCGCCGCTCCCCGGCAGCAGGCAGCTGCTCAGCACGTCCTCGAGCGTGTACACGGGCACCTCGCCCGACGATGTGGCGCTCGAGTAGGGCAGCCACGTCTTGATCCGCCCGTCGTCGTCCGTCTGCGACTCAAACACCCTGTCCGGCGTCGCCGCGCTGCTGCTGGTGATGGCGGTGTTGCTGCTGCCGTTTTGGTTGTTGGTGTTGTTGCTGGGGATGATTGGGGAGGAAACTAGTTCCAGCTTGACGCGCAGGCCCCGTGCCGGCTGGCCTGTTGTTGTGTCTAGCACGTGGCACGTTATGCGGTCTTTGTCTTTGGGTTCGGTGTTGGACATTGTGGTGGGTTCTTTTCGTTTCGAGCGGCTGCGCAGTTGGAATGAATCGGTTTGAGTTGAAAGTCAGAATTGGTGGGCAAGGAAAGAGAAAGCCAAGAGTCTAAGCGAAAAGGCAAGTATTCAACCTAACTAAACTTACACGTCAAAGCAAAGACCTGCTTAGGAAATAGTCTGGTGTTGAGGGGTTATGGGGCGGTTTATCGCGATAAGCGCTGTGAGGGGTAAGATGTGTGGCGCCGGAGTTGACTCCTTACAGGCCACAGCGCAGCTGTTCACTCAAAAGGAACTGGCTCTGGGAAAGGTGAAAGGGCTTTATATCCACAGCACGAAGGGAAAGCGCATGTTTGTGTACTCAAATGCGGCCTGCAGTTTGAGGGATCTGCAAGCTGAACAGATTGAGCAACCTGCTGTTCGGAACCCCATCGTTAGGGACAGGAGAACCCTGAAGAGGTTCCCGCTGACGTCGTTTTGTCCCCCAACGAACGCCAGCTGAGATCTCGGCAATTCAAGTGTATTCCCATTCCGACAGCCATATCAGTCCGTTGGTCACGTAGAGGTAGGATCTGGAAGACGCAATAAATCACTTCCAAGGTCCATCCATTCAGCTCTTTCCATTATCAGAAGCCAGCATCTTCAGCCCACTCAGCTGCGTTTCAGCAGCCCGATAGATGCCAAGACCGTTGCTTAGAGCGCCGTTTACCCCACCAAAGAACCCAATGACGCTGCGGGGGCGGCCAGACCACGGAACCGTCCGATGTGACTTTGCGCTTCTAACTGCTTCTAGGCGCAGGTGCCTCGGGAAGGCGAGATTCGCTGAACTTTGAACCGTTGATACCTAATTCCAGTTGTACTTGTACAGTCTGTCTGATCTATGTTCTTCTGTTGATTCAAGTTCGGGACATAACTCTCTACTCTCCAAATTCTCGTGCCCCGGGCATACACCACGCTTGGAGCAAACACACATCGCCGATACTCCAGCACACGGTTTGAATCAGCCACGTTCATTGACAGTCCCCTGCAGCCACCATGTCAGCCGCTCTCGTCAATGTCGACGACACCGAGGCGATGGAGCCTACACTGCAGTCCATCCTGGACCAGCGGTCGCTGCGGTGGATCTTCGTCGGCGGCAAGGGTGGTGTGGGCAAGACAACGACATCGTGCAGTCTTGCGATCCAACTGGCTAAGGTGCGCCGCTCGGTGCTGCTGATCTCGACCGACCCCGCGCACAACCTCAGCGATGCCTTTAGCCAAAAATTCGGCAAGGAGGCCCGGCTGGTTGACGGGTTTGACAATCTGAGCGCCATGGAGATCGACCCCAACGGCAGCATTCAGGACCTACTGGCTGGTCAGGCCGGCAGTGACGCCGGGATGGGCGACTTGGGCGGGATGGGGGGCATGATGCAGGATTTGGCGTTTGCTGTAAGACAGACCCCTGCTGCTCCGATGCTGCCACAAGAGTGTTAACGGCTATGTGTCCAGATTCCCGGCATTGACGAGGCCATGTCATTCGCAGAAGTCCTCAAGCAGGTCAAATCACTCTCGTACGAGACCATCATCTTCGACACAGCCCCGACAGGGCACACGCTTCGCTTCCTGCAGTTCCCTTCGGTCCTCGAGAAGGCGCTCGCCAAAATCTCGCAGCTCTCCAGCCAATACGGCCCGCTGCTGAACGGTTTCCTCGGTAGCAACGGGACACTCCCCAACGGGCAGAATCTCAACGAGATGATGGAGAAGCTCGAGACGCTGCGGGCGACAATCTCCGAGGTCAACACACAGTTCAAGGACGAGCGCCTGACGACCTTTGTGTGCGTATGCATTCCGGAGTTCCTGTCGCTGTACGAGACGGAGCGTATGATCCAGGAGCTGGCCAGCTACGGCATCGACACGCACAGCATCGTTGTCAACCAACTCCTCTTCCCCAAACCAGGCTCCGATTGCGAGCAGTGCACAGCCCGCCGTCGTATGCAGAAGAAGTACCTGGACCAGATCGAGGAGCTCTATGACGAGTTCAATGTTGTGAAGATGCCGCTCCTTGTCGAGGAGGTGCGCGGCAAGGAGAGGCTAGAGAAGTTTAGCGAGATGCTGGTCAAGCCCTTTGTTCCACCGTCTTAGGGTTGGATATGAGTGAGGGGGGAAAAGTCAGGGTACAGCAACAGGAATATCCACCAATTCATGGTGATAGCGCGATTGGTCCGGTCCGATCGACTCGAGAGTTACTTGGAGACGGAGCCGCCAATTTCAAACTCCACGTCGGGCTCCGTTGGGTAATATTCCCCGGGTGGCTTACGCTCAGATTCGCAGTTGGGTTTCACCTTGACCTGCAGCTGGCGATGTGTGGTGGTCGTACGCATGGCAGAGAAGCAAGCAACTGAAGAGCTTTCTTGCGTGTATGTACTGGCTGGCGCTGTTATACATAGATATCGGGCTGTTACATTAGCTACAGGGAGCAAGCCATAGATACTTTGTTAAGTACAGCTCGGAGTCACAGTGACCATTGTTCCAATCAGTTGGTGTTGATTCCCTCTGCTGCAAGCAAAGGATTTGTATTGTACATAAACATACTATACTTGATATACATCACAAACAATCGCTGGGTTGAGGGCCCCTCCACCCTCCGTCCTCCTGCTTCCGTGACGATAGGTCGCTGGTCCTGAAGGACGGCTTCCTCACTCTCCAGCCCATGTCCTGCTTTCTGCATTTCACTAATAAGCAACTGCATACCCACTCCTCTCCTATACGCTTCTCCTAAGCAACAGAAAGCCGCAAACCAGTGCTCAAAACCGCTTTGCCTCTCCGCAGCTCAAGATATTGACCTAGAACGCCATAAAGATGCATGAACCCCACCCTTCCCAATGATTCCTCGTAAAACCGCGTGGATGAGAGTCCCGGTAGTGGCAGTAAAGGCCTGAATGGAATCGTATTCCCAAGTAGGTATATACACTTCGTCCCTTGTGGAGGGCTCTGAATTTCTTTCCGTTGTTCATTGTCGAATAAATGGCCGGTATATGTACGAGATCGAGATCAAGGGTGGCCAGGTATATAGGTAGTTCCGCGCCGTTCAGAGTTCCCTGTAATCGCTTGGCCGGACACGCCGCTGTCTGTTTTGGTGACGATGCGGGTTGACGGGTTTGCGGAAATAGGCGTCGTCATCGTCGGCAGGCTGGTGTGAAAAGTTCTTGTGGCCCATCATCATCTGTTGTTGCGGCTGCGGGCCGCCGCCATAGCCGCCGCCACCGAGGTTCATGTTGTTGTTCATGCCCCGGCCCATGTTGCCGGCGCCGTTCATGCCCATATCTCCTCCGCCCGGCCACATCCCTGGACCCATAGCATTAAAGCCGCCGGGGCCTGCCATGTTGCCCATGCCTGGAAAAGCGCCGTTCAGGCCGGGTCCCATCATAGGGTTCATCATGGGGTTCATCATGCCCATATTCATGGGCATACCGCCGTAGTTTGGCATCATCGGCATGCCTGGGTACATCATGGGCATTCCTGGCATGTTCATCCCGTTCATGCCGACAGGTGGCACTATCTGCATAGGATTCATCATCATATTCTGCGGCTGCTGGGCTTCCTGAGCTTTCTGCATTGCCTTTGGGGCCTTGGGGATCTTTGGGTTTTCCAAGAGATCCCCCGCAGGCCGTTTCTTGGAAGCCTGGGCCGGTTCTCCGGCAGTAGGCGTCGATGTAGCATCTCGTTGCGAAGGTGTAGGCGCGGAAGTTTGACCTGTTTGATTCGCCGCTGTGCCAGCTGGTGCTACCGGTGGCGATTTCGAGCGTGCTTTAGCTGCGCCCTCCTCCTTGCCTTGCTCCTTGCCTTGCTCCTTGCCTTGCTCCTTGCCCTGCTCCTTGCCCTGCTCTTTGCCTTGGGCTTCGTCTCCTCCAGCAGTCGACGGCGACTTTGTTGCCGGTGATTTTGGTGCTGTAGGGCTCTTGGGGCTTTTAGACGTCTCCTTCCCTTTGGTGTCCTTCTCGGCAAGAAACGAGTTTATCTTCTCAACCGCCTCCTCATCCGTCTTCAAATCATCGATTAGAACGCCTTCAGTCTTGCAGCCAGGGCAGATGAAGTCGCTCTCAATGAGAGCATTAGTGATGCAATCATTGCAATACGTCTGCTCACAACATGGAGTCTTCATTGGCTCTATGAACATTTTCTTGTCGATGGGGCACATCAAGCCTCTTTCCTGGACTTCCTTGTCTCCATCGGAAGCGGCCTTTTGGGCCGCGGGGTTTGACTTGGCCTTGGCCTGGAACTGTTCCCAGGACGCCTTGTCAGGCTCAGCAATCACGAACTCCCCGTCAGCATTGACCATAATGCCCGATGGCGTCTTTGAGTCATCGCCGTCGGCGTTCTGCCCTAGCGCGGTCGCCTTGTCCACAGTCTTGAGGAATGACCGAGGGATACCCGTGGTTCTCTTCACACGAGGGCGATTGTCATACTCTGGGTTGTCATTGGTTGGGCACAGCTGGATCCAGTGGCCCTTTTCACCACAACGGTAGCAAATATAGCCCTGTGGGGGGTCGTGGTCCGGAACGTTGGTCGGCTTCTTCGGACCTCCTTTCGCCACATATTGTTGCCTGTAAGGGACGTTAGTACATTAGCATGGGACGGACCAGCAGTACTAGTTACATACGTTGCCATCTCTTCTTCCCGCGCAGTAAAGTTCTCGGTTTGCGCCTGGAACACAGCCGCCATCTTCTCCTCCTCCGTCATTGCACTGCTCAGTTGGGCCAATGTGTTGGATTGTGTCTTGACGGTCGGCTTGACAATCTGCTCTCGACGAGATGAGTTTTTGGCATGCACGGGCATCTTGCCGGATACATAGCGAGCGGCGCCTCCCCTACCGGGTATCTTGGGAGGCATACGCCGGGCAATTACTGTTGTAGACCGGGGAATAATTGTCGTGTCATCGTCGTAAACTGGGCCATCATTAGCGCGCCAAGGTCCGGTAGCCTTTTGTTGACACATGAACTCCTACCCTCTTTCATGCCCTCGTCTGCACAGATAACCAGATCAAAGTCGGTACCATCGCCGAGCCCGCTCCGAAGAATGATTTCACGTTTCAGCTCAAAGACAGAAATACCCGTCCCGTCAAACTCGACCCGGGTGGGCTCTTTTTGGGACTTGAACTTGAAAAAGACCGAGGAAGCCATCTTATTATGCGTCGGGTTGGTGCACCCTACACTTGTTGTACGGTTGGGGACACGCGGACGGGAGCCAGATGCTCCAACGCAGCGGAAAGAGATGCTGTTTGTCTATTAGGAGTGCCAAAGTCTGGTCGAGTCTCTCGAATCCTGTTTCGCACAAGGTGAATAGGGGGAAGGTGATGTGAAGTTTGTGGTCTGCTCTTGCGGTAATCCCCTGGTTAAGCAAGTTTGCTTGTCTCTTCTTCTTAAGCGTCAGAAGTGGGGAGGAGAGAGTCAATTCTGATTGTTCTCGAGAAAAGACAGAAAGAGCTTTATGAACGAAGGTTAAGCAATCAGGAGAAAGAACAAGTACAAAGACCCGCGGCCACTCTGGGACCCTATTCAATAGAGTGAATAGCAGGATTGTAGGACTCCTTCTCCCAAAATAGCACCACCTCCACGGCCAGCAACTCAATACACCTTGTTTGTTAGCCAGAAGAGAAATCCGAGCCTCGAGCCTAGATGATGAAGGTGCCTTGAGAGTCGATTGAATTAATCGCTTTGATGGAAATATGCCTCGAGTCGTTACGGCGTGTGACTAATCGTCGCTCGTTGGGCTCTGTCCGCAATAGAAGGTCAGGGAAATGAAAGAAACTGCATTAGTATCGCCCCTGAAAATGCGACTCAGATATGGGCAAGAAAGCTTGATGCCCTGCGATGCGCGATGCGAAGGGTCGATGTCGATGTCCTTGGAGGTGGGAGATAGAGGAGAGGTAGAAAGGAATGAAGGATTCGTTGGTAAGCGATGGTTTAACTTTGAGGGGGTTTGCCTGGTAGGTTCGGTTCACGAAAGTTATGCCTGGCCTAAGGTTGACTAATCAGTCTGTGACGTGAAACTGCTGCCTAAAATATTAGGCGGAAAGAACCTGCAGGAGGAACGTAGAGGAAGCTCTGGCCATCAGGTGATTAAGTTATAACAAAGAAACCTAGTGGACTATCAACCAAATCACAGCATCATTGCAGGACAGAGTAGCTGAATATTGGCGTGCAATGTAACGAGCATGTAAAATGATTATTTATGTACTGATATGCGGCAAGATATTGTGAAATTCCCCTTCAATTGATGACATCGCTGTGCAGAGGTCGTCTCTTTACAACATCAATGTTACGCAAGGCGGTCCCCGCTGTTGGTCTCGTGATACCGCTAATGAATGGTTCCAGAACTTCCGTGTCGTCGATGCAGCCTTCCACACGGAAAGCAGGCGAGCTCTTTGAGAAGTGAGCCGATCATCGTCAGAGTTGCGTCCCCCTCTCTGGCAGCATTTGGCCACCCACTCCTATTTGGGTGTAACTCTCCATCGTACTGATGCCAAAGATCCCCATTCTCCCTCTCCTGACAACTCCACACTGCAACGAACGGCCAACCTCGTTTCCATCAACTCGGGGCTTCCCGAGCGAACTTTCGCCCGAGCAGAAAGTTTCTTAGTCGATAGAAATCCCGGGCAAGAAGTTGGCAATCTTGCTCGCGGAAGCCGCTTTGCCAATGTCAAGCTCATCGCCGCTCCGACCGTGAGCTGCGCTTCACACATACCTTTACGCCACGCGACTGCACGCTCGACCTAAGCTACTCGCTGCAACTCAATTTCACCCGAACTGAACTTCTCCGAACCCCTCGCATACCGGACGTCCCGTTCCAGAGATCCAAGCTTCCCCGCCGCCCTACGTTCCCCGGCCTTTACCAGCAATCCACCTACCACAACCTCCAGATTATCTCTCAGTTAACACGGGCATTGTCTGGATCGAGTCTTAGACAAACCAAACGCGTCCGCGACGAACCGAGGCATCTACAATACATAGGAGCCAGGCAAAGAAAAAGAAGCCAGCTGCAACAATGGTCCTCACGCACACAACCAACCACACCTACGCCCACCCGTTCCCGACCGTGACGCTGGCCTTTTTTCTGCGGTACTGCTCGCCGCAACTGAACCCGTTTGCCAGCCATGTGCTCAGCACCGACACAATCGAGTCGTACGTGGACCCGGCCACGGGCCGGATGCACACGACGCGCATCCACCTCAAGAAGTCGCGCCTTCCCCCTGCCGTCATGAAGCTGCTCCCGGCCTCGCTGACAGGCGGCACCTCGGACAAGGCGTCGTACATACTCGAAACGAGCGTCGTCGACATGCGCGAGGGCTGGATGGCGACCGAGAGCCGCAACCTCAACTTTGTCGGCGTCCTCTCCGTGGTGGAGCGGCAGATGTACACCATGCCGAAACAGCAGCAAAATGCTTCCTCCCCGTCGGATACAACGGACGTCGAGACCAAGGTGGTTTTCCGGTCCCGGCTGGGCGAACGGATCCGGGACCGGCTCGGCCAGGCGCAGGCGCAGGCGGAGGCGGCTGTGAGTGACGCCGCGAATAATGGCGGCGGCGGCGGGTTCTTCGCTAGACTCGGGGCCCGCGGCATCCAGCGCAGCATCGAGACGCTTGCGTCCACCAAGACGCAGGACCAACTGGGCAAGAGCCGTGAGGGCATGCGCATCATCCTCGAGAGGCTGCGGCAGACAGGCATCATGGGGGTGCTGGAGCTGCGAAAGATGGCCAGGGAGCGGAGTTCCGAGGCCGCTGCTTGAGCAATCCCGCCTGCGCGCATATGTCGAAAAGGAGAGCGGCCGTTGTTTGAGTCTCGATCTGCTGCTCCTTGCCCAAGCCAGTCTCTTCTGGACCTGTACGGTCTGGTCTGGCCCCTACTGGCGCCTTCTCTCCCTGCCGCTAATTCCGGCCGGTGATTAGGACGAGCGCTGGTGGCTTGTATTGACGTCTGCACGCCTATCTTGAGTTTCTTGCATCCTCATACGGGGTCGGTTTCAAAGGGAGGTCGAGCTTCTGCGCTTGACTCCCGTGTTGTACATTTATCATTTCTTCATCTGTCTTATACTTACTCAGCAAGGCGTATGTGGGACGATTATTTTGATCTTGATAGGCTCGATTGATGCTCACGACGAACACGGCGGCGGCGGCGGCGGCGGCTGGAGGGAAAGGCGTCTGTCCTTGTTCCACTCATTGTATGATAGCAGTATGCCGGAAACCCGGCGGATGTCCTCAAATGGAAAAGGGCAGATGAAAGAAAACACGACATGGGCGGGTACGGGTAAGAGTCTCGGTGTTTCGTGTGTCATTGGCCATTAGCTGGTCCGTTATTCCATATCAGCATAACAATAGTATTTTATTACTACCAAGGCATCATTATATTGGGTCGTCCACCTAAGCTACCCACTTTGGCCTTCTGTTTACTTTCTGCGCCTCCAATGGCCAGGGGGTCCTCTTCTCCCCTTGTTACTCCAGCCCTGCGGCGCCGTTCCCTTGCCCAGGGGCTGGGTGCTCTGCGGCGTGAATGGGTCGGTGGTGAACGGAACGGTGCAGTTCATGCAGTTCACGCGGCCAAGCATGAACTCGAGCTGTCTGTATGACGCAGAGGGCGCGTACTGCGGAACCATGTGGCCAGCAATGTCAATACCAACGTATGTCAGCCCCCGCTCGGAAACCATGCTCCCGAAAACGCCACCGGCCGCCAAGGTAGACAGGTCTGTCATGTTGTTGTAGGGCACGTAGAAGGGCTGATCCGGCTTGTTCTGGAATCCCAGCTTGCCGCCCCAGGTCATGTTCTGGATGGCAACCAGCGTGCCGTTCGCGAGCAGGATCATGTCGAGCGCGCCGTGGCCGATGATGACGTTCTTTGTCTTGTCAATGACGTGGGGCAGGACGGTGAAGGCTGAGGGCAGCGACTTGTCGGTACCGTTGACGAACACGTCGTTGGGAGTGCACTCTGCCCAAGTAACGTTCGGTGCGTGTATGGCCGCCTTCACGTCGGCACGGTCAAAGTAGATATTTGCCCCTTCCGGCACGTACTCCATAGAACCAGGGAAGCCGAGAACGTCCCAGAGAAGGGGGCAAGTTGTCGCGACTTGGTATATATCGAAGCACGGATTGAGCAGCGAGATGGCGCTGAAGATGTCCCAGTATATGTTCCAGCACTCGTCACGGGTCTTACCCGTCTTGTCCGTACCCGGAAGGGGCATTGGGATATGACCCTTCGGAGGGTAAACAAGGTACTTCTCCATCCAATCGGCGTAACCACACTTCTTCTCCCGGGCCTTGATGTCTGCACGGAAAGTGTCGTTAAAGGGGAAGAGCCCACCCCAATACTCGGTAAACTGAACAACCGGGATTGGCTCCTGAACCTCATCCCAAGTGATAACGGGATTGTAGATGGTCATGCCGGACATGTCATAGTACGTCTTGTCCTCAGCATCGAGGAATGCGCTGGCAATATACGGGCAGTAGTAACCACTAAGGGCCAATCAGCCCCCTGCCACAAAAGTGAGTCAAACATGGGCATCGTTGATCCAACTTACGCGTAAGACTCGCCGGAAATATAGACCTTGTAGCCGTGCATGCCAAAGGTGTCGATAAAGTTCTTCCAAAATCCCATGAACTGAGCAGCAAGCTCTTTCTCGTCGGTAATCGTTACTTTCCCGGTCGAGAAGCCCGTGCCGACGGGCTGCTCAACCCAGACGACGTTGGTCAAGGTATGCCAACTCCAAGGGTTCTTTACCGGCTTGAAGGTACCATACTGCCAGAGGAAGGGCCCGTTCTCCTGAAGCAGGCCCTCAAAAGAGGAGCATCCCGGCTGATTCACAGTCAGTAGTTAGTGTACAAAAAGAGAGCCCACACTTACACCACCGTTCAACCAGATAACGATTTCCTTTTCGGCCTTCGGGTTGGTCGACGGGAAGAACCAGAAGAACAGGTTGCTCTCCTCATTCGGGTCGCTACTGATGGGCAACAGCCCCGAGTAAGACTCGCCAACGTCAAAGTCAACGTCAGGGATAGCAGTTCCGTCGACGGCAAACTCTGACGACGTACGAGGACGTGTTAGCCAGGTTCCACTAGCTCGACAGAGGGCGCAATACCTACTCGTAGTGTTCGCATTAAGGAACCTGGGAGCCTTGACCTCGCGCTCTTGAATCAGAGGAGCACTGGGCGGAAAAACTGGCCTCACCCTTTTTCCTGCCGCGTGCTCAACATGGCGTTTGCCTGCATGTCCTATACTTCGCCCGGCAGCATCGACCACTCCGGAGAGCAAGAACGCCGAAAGTGCGCTTATCCAGCGCATCTCAGCGCACACCAGGGTTGCTCAAGCCTGGGAACTGGTGTTGTTGAGGCCTTTGAGGACGACCAGGAGCCGGAATCTAGTGCCGCAACGGTTCAGTCGTCGCAGGGGGCCGGGCACACCTCGACACTCCAAGAATGAACGACAAGAGCGATGAGACGACCCGGGAGCCCGGCGAGATATAAATAACGAGAAATGGGCCGTCATACCCTGCTCCAGCAAACACCAACTGGCACAGATACACTAGTACACTCCCTCATAACAAACCCCTACACGAGGCTGCCCAGCAGCGAGCATAGTATAGTACGTATGCGGATAGTATGATGGGGGCCTCAAAGCGAAACGGATCCAATGGGACCACTACGGGCATGGTGAGCGCTCCGTCTGGCCTGCTCTAATTTGCGCGATCCTACCGTGCATGAGCAGACTCTCTTTGCACCTACCAGTCCTGGAACAAGAGGCCCCGCGAGGGCCTTGCGATCGGTGCCGGTCATGCTCGCAGATAAGTTAATGATAAGCGGGGGAACCAAGGCACAGGCTCGACAGGGTTAATCCACCGGGTCGTTGGCGGTAGATGACGGCTTGGCCCACGTACACTGGCTCGAGACTGGGTAATCAAGCCTGCCCCTGGCGACTGAGATAGCGTTTAGCGTTTTACCGGTATCTAACATTGCAGGTCCCAGTCGTCTTGCCGAGCGAGACGTAGTTGACTTTCAGCGAAGAAATTTTGTGAAAGACTGGAATGAAGAAGTTGTTGATTGCCCAGGTTCGACTGCGCGTTCAAAGTCTAACTGTCAGTAGAGCTGGTAGAGCAATCAATTGCGTTGGCCTCGATATTGTGAAATTAGAGGACGCAATGCTCTCTCCATGAGAACCTCTCATGCACGCGGGGGAAAACGGGAAAAGAGTGGTTGATGACACGATGTCCCGATTAGGGAGGTGTGAGGGGGAAACTCGACAGCTGATTGGGGACCCACTTGGCTCCTAAAGCGGTCAAGCATCAACGGCGATCAACGGCAGCAAATGCCGGACCTGTGTTCCGGCTTGTCCCGTCTTGTCGCTCAGGCTTGTTTCGATCCCTGAGAGCGAGGAATACGACTTTGCGATCAGTTTATATGCGTCTGGATAGGTTATCCTTATCCTACTAACTGCTTTCCGGGTACCAGGTCTATCTCTATGAGATACCCGCTGGAAGCGATTACTTATACAGGCTTTCAAATAGTATATAGTACATACACAAAGATGGCCGGACTACTTGCCCGCTCTCCTTGCAGTCACTTCCGCCGCCTCCTCCTCTGCAATGAGGTCCTGGATGTCCTTGTTAACCAGATAGCTCTGCACACTGTTTATCACCTTGCCCAACGTGTCGCCGCCCCGAAGGACGTCCGGCAGATTGTGAAAATCCAGCCCACTGCGGTGGTCAGTACAACGATCCTGCTGGTAGTTATACGTCCTGATCTTGTCGCCGCGCGTGATCTGTGACTGGGCAAGCACACTACTGCGCAACTTTCGCGCCATCTCCTCCCTTGCTTCCCGGCGCTGTTGCGCGAGCCGCGATCGCAGCAGCCGCCATGCCGCCTCGCGGTTCCGCTGCTGCGACCGCGAATCTTGCATGCTGACCGTCGTACCCGTGGGGATATGCGTTAACCGGATGGCCGACTCGGTCTTATTGACGTGCTGCCCGCCGGCGCCGCTCGCCCGCATCTTCTCGCTGCGCACCTCGTTCGGGTCGACGTAGAAATCGCTTTCCGGGTTGTCCCACTCGCTCTCAGCATTCGACGTTGCGTTTTCCGGGAAGGACGGGAGCACCCAAACGGCAACAGCGCTGGTGTGAGTACGGCCTTTTGCCTCGGTCGCGGGTACGCGCTGCACGCGGTGCATACCCGACTCGCCGCGGAAGTGCGCGTAGGCGCCGGGTTCCTGGATCTCCAGAACGGCTTCTTGCAGCGCGATCTCGCCCTCGCTGCCTTTTTGGCCGTCCCCGTCCGCGGCTTCGTACTTTACCACCCGCGACTGCCATCCCTTATTCGAGCAGTATGCCTGGTACATGTGAAAGAGGCTGTCGGCGAAGAAGCGACCCTCTGTGCCGCCCGGTCCAGGCCTTATCTCGAGCAGGCAGGGCATCTCGGCGAACGGGTGCTTGGGAGTCAGGGCTGCTGAGAGATTGTGGCCCGACTCTGCGAGTTGCGCATTTGTAGCCGCAAGATCATCCTGGGCCAGCTCCCTCATCTCCGCATCGTCTGATTCCAGCAGCCCTTGGAGCTCCTTGAGTGCTGCCTTTGCTTTTTCGAATTGCTTGAGCGCGTTGGCAACCTTGGAGGTCTCGCCCGCGCGTTTCGCCGTCTTTGGGTCATAGTCTTTTTGCAGTGCTGCGCTTAGTTGGTCGTGCTCGAGGGTGAGTCTCCGAGCTCGTTCTAAGAGTGCCGGGGGAAGGTCGATTGGAGTCGCTAGCCAAGGTCAATTGGGAGAATCGAAAAGCGATTGCGGAGTAGTCGTACCTGTGCTAGCTTTGCGAAGAAACTGGGCAACGCCGGCGCGCCTCAGAAACCGCGCGCAGCTCCGACACACCCATGGTGCTGCCAACATAATCGCAGCGTGACAATGCAGATTCCGAAAAGATCGGATTGTTTCTGCTGCCGTAGCTAATCCTTGGGATCTCGGCAGGCATTATCATTCTGCCGCCATTCTCCGCCTTTCCGTTTCTGCGGACCGAATACCGACACCTAGGTAAATAAGGTACCTGACCCTACAACCGGAATCCTTGATCTTTCCAGATCCATACGATATTGGGCTGATGATCGCATGAAAGTAAACTTCGATTATGTTTTTGAACTGAATCCAAATTGATAATAGGGGCTCGGATCAATGCAATGGATAGGAGAGGAAGACTGGGGCGAAGGGAAAGAGAAAAGGAGACCTCGTAGTTAGAAAAACAAACAATCCATTGCTTATACAAAGTAGTCTACGAAGTACTCCGTATACAAAACCTTTGTGAGAACGAGCCCATTTGGATGTGACAGGGTGAATTAATACCGGTACATATGTGGAGCGGAGGTTTCTGTCGATAACGATTGCGACTGGCGGCCCGTTCCTCTGCCCCTCCCCCACCATACTGTAAGACCACTTACTGTGTAGTGCCACTTTAGCCACTGACTCACTCAAGAATTCCAGACAAAGCTCTCCTGGATTTCGACCAAGGTGTCACAAGTCCGAGTCCTATAACGCCAACTTAGGTCAACGCAAAGAATCTACGATGGGGACCAACGTCAATGAAGCGGCTCTCGACGAGTCGCCCATGCCCCAAGTTGTCGCCTCGAAGCAGACTGTGGACCCTTATAATGTCAGTTTTTGGTTCTGTGTCCAACTTGAGATTGGGCGAAGGCGGCTAAAGGAATCCCACTCAAACAATAGGTCTCTGGCGAAGTAGACGAGAATGGCGTGGTCAAGGCAATCGACTACAACAAGCTCGTTGACGAGTTCGGCACAAAGAAAATCGACGACGAGCTTCTTGCCCGCCTCGAGCGTCTCACGGGCAAGCGGCCCCACCACTTTCTAAGAAGAGGCATTGTGTTCTCGCATAGAGACTTGGAGCTCATTCTCGACCGGTACGAGCGCGGCGAGCCTTTCTTCCTCTATACCGGCCGCGGGCCCTCGTCAGACAGCGTGCACGTGGGGCACACGATCCCATTCGAGTTTACAAAGTGTATGTGCTTCGGGGGTTTCGTGCCCGCCGTGCAAGGACGGCTTCTATGGTAGAATTGATGCTCACAGGACCTGCTACAGGGCTTCAGGACACATTTGATGTACCTGTAAGTGGTCGAAGTCAAGCCCCTCGCGTTCTCTTCCTTGATCAGCCGAGTTCTGACACCTCACTAGCTTGTTATCATGTTGACGGACGACGAAAAGTATGTCTGAGGCCATAGCATATGTGGGATACGTATGCTAAGAGCAGTTCAGGTACCTATTTTCCGACAAGCGAACCATCGAGGAGGTCCAGGGGTATTGTAACGCCAATGCCAAGGACATCATTGCCATTGGCTTCGACCCTGACAAGACATTCATCTTCTCTGACGTACGTTGTGAACGGTAACTATTGGACTAATGGGAAGCTGAATGGGCTTTAGTTCGATTATGTTGGCGGTGCGTTCTACAGGAACATCGTCCGTCTATCAAAGCATATCACACTCAACCAGGCCCGCGCCATCTTTGGGTTCAACGAGAGCACAAACATCGGCCGTATCCATTTCGGCAGTAAGGTTTCTGTCACCTTCCTTTGGGGGCATACTTGCTAACAATGTCAGGCATTCAAGGCAAGAACCGATAGGACAGGACGTTATTACCCGATCGCTAATAGCGCAACAGGCGCAACCAGCTGGGCATCTTCATTCCCCCATATCTTCGGCGACGACGAGAAGAGGACAGTCGGGATACCGGCGCTGATGTAAGGAGTCCGGGGTATAACATGCGGGTTGTCGCTAACATGCAGCAGTCCCTGTGCTATCGATCAAGACCCGTAAGTGAACCTGATCCGATCTCTGCAATTCTGGTCTGCCAACGCTTCTTACTGTTATGCTAACTGGCCCTAGATGTGAGCATTGTTCCTGCATTAGTATATGGTATAAGGGCTAATTTCGAAAGACTTCCGCATGACACGGGATGTGTCGGCAAGGTTGAAATACCAAGGCGTGCCTTACGCCAAACCTTCTCTCATCCATTCTCTGTTCTTGCCAGCGCTCCAAGGACCTGGCACGAAGGTATGATCGCGTTTTCATCCTGGTACCTTACTCCTCCTTCTAATTCGCTGGCAGATGTCGGCGTCTATTGACGAATCTGCAAGTAAGTCATTGAGCGCACCTACCACCAGCAGCTACATCCTACTAATCCAAGTTAGTTTTCATGAGAGACACGCCCAACCAGATCAAGAACAAGATCAACAAGTATGCTTTCTCAGGCGGCAAAGTATCGGTTGAGGAGCACAGAGCGCAAGGAGGCGACACCAATGTCGATGTCTCGTTCCAATATCTCCGCTTCTTCCTAGAAGACGACGAGGAGCTCGAAAAGATTCGGCTGGCCTATGAGAAGGGAGAGATGCTGACAGGCGAGCTGAAGGCCATCTGCATCAGGGAGCTCCAAAAATATGTGGCCGGCTTCCAGGAGCGAAGAGCCAAGGTTGACGACAAGACCGTTGAGCTCTTCATGGCGAAACGTCCGCTGAAGTGGGTGGGCAATCCCCGCGCGCCGGTCGTTGTTCCCGTAGTGACCAACGGCGAACCCGGCGAAGAGAAGGAAGAGCAGGGTAAGATGTCCAAGAACCAGCTGAAAAAGCTCGAAAAGCAGAAGCAAGTAGAGGCCAAAAAGGCGCAGAAGGCGAAGGAGAAGGAGGAACAAGGTGCTGTAAAGGCGGTAGCAGCATGAGCTTGGCTGTCGGGCGTTGATAAGGAGTGTAATTGTTGGTCGTTCCCAGGAGCGTCCCAGACCTCATAGCGCCCAATGCAGAGACTCGATATCACGAGTGTGCCCTAAGATCTCACGGTTGGAGCCAGGGGCGGGGTTCTGTTGTTGCAGCAGAGCTACTAGTGCATTCTTGGCCTCTGTGGATCGTGAGAAGAATCGCTGCGGCTCGAGATTGTGGGTTTGGTGCCGATGCAGGTCGGAGCTAGTCATTCACAAGGCGTGCGTAGGCCTGCGAGCTTCCTAAATGAGTCAGTGTTGCGATACGAAGAGTCAACAAACTACTATAATAGGCCTCCTTGTATCTTCTCATGAGGGTCTGTCTGCCTTGGAACAAACATGAGCCCTTGCAACACAAAATCTCCCGCCCAATACAGCATCGACTTAGGCTCAAAATGCCGTACCACCTGTACATCACAAACCGGAACTACTCGTCCTGGTCACTCCGCCCCTGGGTGCTCATGCGCCAGCTGGGCATCCCCTTTGTCGAGGAGTTCCAGCCGCTCACGTCGGGCTCGTTCCGGCAGCCGCAGTGGCGCGCCTTTTCGCCCGTCGCCCACGTGCCGTGTCTGCACTCCCTCCCGGACTCTCCTTCATCATCTTCGGAAGGGGGAGAGAAGGAGAAGCTGGTGTTGTGGGAGTCGCTAGCCATTGTCGAATTCCTTGCCGAGGAGCATCGGGACAAGCCTGTTTACCCCGCAAACAAGTCCGCTCGCGCGTGGGCCCGTAGCGCCGTCGCCGAGATGCACTCGGGCTTCGCCGTTATGCGGCAGGAGATGGGCATGAACATTGGCGTGCGGGTTGAGTTGATGGGTCCGGCGTTTACTGAGGGCTTGGTGAAAGACCTGGAGAGGATAAACGAGCTCTGGACGGAAGGGCTGAGCAGGTTCGGGGGTCCGTTTTTGGCCGGCAAGGAGTTCACGGCTGTCGATGCCTTCTACGCGCCTGTGGTTCTGAGGCTGGTGACGTACGTCGGCGCGCTGGACAGGATGGGGGACGAGGTTAAGGGTTATGTGGAGAGGATGACACAGTTGGAGGCCATGAGGGAGTGGGTTGAGCTAGCGCTCAAAGAGACGGGCAGGGAGGTGCTGCATGAGCAGGAAACGTTTGAGGGGCCGGGGAGGAGGCTGATTGAGGACCTCAGGGCAAAAGCCGAGTGAGCGAGAAGGCAGATATATATGATGGTGCCGTGACCCTACGTGTGTCGTGGTCACCCTTTCTTGGTGGCATCTCAAAATGGTGGCGTTTGTGATATGACACTGGGTTTTCATGAAATGCCCTGATGAGTGTGTTGCAATTGTGAGACGAGTTCAAAGTTAGGACGAGGCTCCATACCCGCTCCGCTCCGCTCCGGCTTTCGGCTCCTATAGTCTCCACAACATACCGAGTGAGAGGGGGGATGGAGGGGTTGTGAAGGCCGTGGTTGCACCTGCTGCGACACTTGTACTTGTAACAACGCAGTTGCACTTGCCAACGAATAACAAATGTCTTTTTAGTGCTCCTCCTTGCCCAGGCACCTTCGCACCTTCCCGTCACGCACCAAGGAGATTCAAAGGATTGAAGCCATCACCGATACTCGCCAGCATGCCACTCACCACCCCGTCCGTCTACCCCCCGCCGTCTCACGAGTTCATGAAATGGCCCAGCCGGAGGAGCGTGGTCCATAGCACCAAGGGCATCGTGGCTTGCACGCAGCCGCTGGCGGCCAAGTGTGGGATTGATATTCTCAATGCCGGAGGCAACGCAGCTGTAAGCGGCGGCACTAGGCTTGTCTTTGTTGACTTGAGCTAACGGCATCTCTCACAACAGGATGCTGCTGTGGCTGTGGGTATGATATTTGCTCACCTAGTACCCGCTTGCAGTTGGACACTGACAACGCCCAGCCGCTGGCTTGAACATTACCGAGCCGTGCTCAACCGGCATTGGCGGCGACATGTTCTGCCTGTACTACGATGCCAAAACCGGCTCTGTGTCGGCCCTCAATGGCTCAGGACGGGCTGGCGCCAAATGCACGCTCGAGACGATTCGCAAGAGTCTAGGAATACCCGACGGCGTTGTCGGCGAGATCCCCATGAGCAGCGTTCATGCGGCCACGGTGCCTGGTGCCGCTGCCGGGTGGGCCGATACGGTCGAGCGCTTCGGCAGCGGCAAGTTGAGCCTGGAGCAAATCCTGGCACCTGCTATTGAACTTGGCGAAAAGGGATTCCCCGTATCCGAGGATGCTGCGCATTTCGTAAGTGCCTCATCTTTGTGATCTTCGTGGTGGGACATGCTGGCTGATCTCGACCCCTTTCGCAACAGTGGCAACGCTCTGAGCAGGCCATTCGCAGGGCCTCGCCCAACTTTGCCGAGATGCTCAAAGCCGACCCGTCGGCGCCCGACGGTGTCCGCGCCCCTAGGGCAGGCGATATCATGAAAATGCCCAACCTGGCGCGCACGTTTCGTACCCTAGCCACAGAAGGCAAAAAGGGGTTCTACACGGGCCGCATTGCCGAAGAGCTGATTAGGGTCGTCCGTGATTTAGGCGGTCATCTGGAGTTGGCCGATTTGCAGCACCATCTAGAGACAGGCAGCGAGCCGGTCGACCCCATTTCGCTCAAGTTCCGTGGCCAGGGGACTGGCGACAAGGGTGTCGAGCTTTGGGAACACCCACCCAACGGCCAGGGCATCGTCGCCCTCATGGCCCTGGGCATAGTCCAAGAGCTGGAAGCCCAGGGAAAAATCCCAACCTTTACCCCAGCCGACCACAACACAGCCCCCTATCTCCACGCCATCATCGAAGCCCTCCGCATCGCCTTCGCCGACGCAAGCTGGTTCGTCACTGACCCGTCCACCACGAAGGTACCCACGGCAGAGCTCATCTCGGCGGAGTACCTCAAGCAGCGCGCACGGTTCTTTGACCCGAACAAGGACAGTGAGATCCTACCGCACGGCGACCCGTTCGCTTCGCCGGCGCTGCGAAGCAGCGACACGGTATACTTTGCTGTGTCGGACGCGGCGGGCAACGCCATCTCCTTCATCAACTCCAACTACGGCGGGTTCGGGACGTGCATCGTGCCCCGCGGATGCGGCTTCACGCTGCAGAACCGTGGCGCCAACTTCAACCTCAACCCGAGACATCCCAACGTGCTCGCCCCGCGCAAACGGCCCTACCACACCATCATCCCCGGGCTCGTGACCAACCTGTCGGACGGCTCACTGCACTCCGTCTTTGGCGTCATGGGCGGCTTCATGCAGCCCCAGGGCCATGTCCAAGTTCTCCTGGCCCAGCTGGTGGGCGGTCTGAACCCGCAGCAGGCGCTCGACGCCCCGAGGGTGTGCATCGGCGCCGGTATGGCTGATGTCGGCGACGTGTACGACAGGACGGTGTACGTAGAGGAGGGCATGCCCGAGGAGACGGTGCGAGGGCTGATCAAACTGGGCCATAAGGTCAAGGTTGTCGGTGACAGGGAGGCGGACGGCCCTGCGAGCCGGCAACGGGCAATGTTTGGGCGCGGGCAGATCATCCGGTGGACTGTGGACCAAGTAGACGGGACTGGGGTTTGGAGCGCGGGGAGCGATATGCGCGGCGATGGGGCGGCGTATCCGGCGTGAATGATTTGACTTCTTAATGCAACGTGTTAGCAGTGAAAAGTGGTGGTGTTACAGAGTCTAACATGCCGTGCCGTGCGTGAGTGGCATCTATACAAACATACTATGAGCCAAGCCTCCAGTCATGTTTCGCTTTTGTCATTACCTATGATCAACCTTCTCCATCCCTTCTATTATTCCTTCTTTCCCCCTTGCGCCTCTGTCTCTGCCTCGCTTTCTGTTGCCAACACCTTCTTCTCCTCCAACAGCTTCGCGAGTTCGCCGCTCTGGTGCATTGACACGATTATGTCACACCCGCCGATGAACTCCTTGTCGACGTAAAGCTGCGGAATCGTCGGCCAATCCGAGTACTCCTTGATACCTGCTCCGGTTTATCCATCATATCTGCGTCAGCAGCCCATACCCTCTTCTTCCACGCAGACACTGCGCTCGACTAAAGAGCACCCAATGATAGAAAACGTACCTTGCCGCAACTCGTCGTCTTCCAACACGTTAAACGCGGCAAACTTGTTCGGGTCGACGCCCTGCAAGCCCAGCACCTGGATGCTGGCGCGCGAGAAACCGCACTGGGGCGTCTCGGGCGTGCCCTTCATGAAGAGCACCACGGGCGCCGACGACACGGCCTTGTCGATGGCCTTGCGCGTGGCGTCAGAGAGGAGCCGGCGCTGGGCGGCGAGGGAGAGCAGGAAGGACCCTGAGGAAGAGGCAGGGGCGGTTGTCGTTGTGGAACGGAGGAGGAGGGTGGTGGCGGGTTGGCGGAGTTGCTTGATGGCGGCGGGTGGTTAGTTAAGATGGACGGGATGGGATATGGGAAATGGGATATGGGAGCGTACCCTTGAGAGAATCGTTCGGGAAAACATCTTGGCTCTATATTGGATTGGCGTGGCCGGTGGTGGTTTCTTGAAGGTTGTGGTCGCAGAGAAGATTGTCGCGGACTTTTTTTGTACGTTGATTTCGCCTTTGGATGGCATGTCGTCAATGATGTAAGCGGGCGTATGACAGGGTTAGGGTTACCTAAGGCCCTACGTTACATACCGATATCTTTTGGAATGCCTTGGTCTACCCAAGTTCTGTCGGACCGTCCTATGGTTAGCATATCATATTGGAAGTCTACTTGGATATTGCACTAGACTTCTGTAATGATACCTTCTACCTAGGTTGTGCTTGTGCCCCAAGGTCTGAAATGGGACGCGGTACGGAGGTATCTCTCAATGGCAGCATGGGCCACTTACAAACTTCCCGGGCTCTCTCAGGCCTGCAAAACCATCGAAAACGACGGATATGCGACGTGTCAGTTGCCGAATTCATATTTTTGAAAATTGTGTAATACAAGATCATTTGTAATTCACTAATGCAACAAATATCACTAAAGGAAGGTGCCTTCATGAGATTATATATGCAAACCTGGAACCCTTCCATCGGCCGGGTACTCGGGGCGTATCTCCCGGCAGGATAAACGGCGGTTACCCCACATAATCCACGTCCCCGGCTCCCCCACACTCTGTTCCTCGGGACAAAACCGAACCCCGCGAACCGGGATTCGGGACTGAAGCCTGGCCTGGCGGCCGCTGTTCTTGAAATGTGAACCCCTTGCTTCCGGGACTGCATGTGGCAGGCCTCCCGAAATGACAACAGGATAATGTTGGTTCTTGAGCACTAGCTATGTACAGTACGCTTTCAACTCCTCGTAGCAAATCAGCACATCAACAGCCCTATTGAAAATATCCCGCCTGGCGCGGTTATACGGTTATACCCAGATCCCATCAGCCCAAACAAAACATGGAATCCTTCAAAATGACCGGCCCGCCTCCTCTCACAGGGATAAGAGTCCTCGAATTCGCAAGTCTCGCCCCAGGTCAGCCAGAATCACCCATACTACAGCCCCATACTTCATCTCAGCTCATAATCCCCTGACATGACATGACATAACGGATCAGGCCCCTTCGCGGGCATGCTCCTCGCAGACGCGGGCGCCTCAGTCCTGCGCGTCGACCGCCCAGTCACCACCACCACCACCTCCACCTCGTCCACAGGATCCAGATCCCCTTTACCCACCGGCGACCTCTTAACCCGCCACAAAACCTCCATCACGGTCGACCTCAAAAACCCCCATGGCATCGCCCTCCTCCACGCCCTGGTCCCACACATCGACGTGCTAATCGACCCCTTCCGCCCATCCGTCCTCGAGCGTCTCTCCCTAGGCCCGTCCCACCTCCTCTCCCTCAACCCGCGCCTCATCTACGCCCGACTAACCGGCTTCCGACGGGACGGCCGCTTCGCCGCCATGGCCGGGCACGACATCAACTACCTTGCCGTGTCGGGCGTGCTGTCCTTGCTAGGACGGACCCGCGCCCCGCCGACGCCCCCGCAGAACCTGCTGGCCGATTTCGCCGGCGGCGGCGCCACCCTCGTGCAGGGGATTTTACTCGCGCTGGTGTCCCGCGCGTCTACGGGCAAAGGGCAGGTCGTGGAGGCGAGCATGGTGGACGGGGTGGGGTACCTGGCGAGCTTTTCACGGTTTATGGTCGCGGGGCGAGTGCCTGGGCTAGGCGACCGGCCGCGGGGGGAGAACCTGCTTGACTCTGGCTGCCCGTACTACGACGTCTACGAGACGCGCGATCGGGGCAGGTTTGTTGCTGTGGGTGCGCTCGAGCCGCAATTCTTTGCCGCGCTGCTTAAGGGGTTGGCGTTGCAAGGGATGGGGTGGGAAGAGAAGAGGTACGACCGGGACCGGTGGCCCGAGCTGCGCAGGGTGTTTGAGGACGTGTTTCGCACGCGGACCAGGGACGAGTGGGAGCAGGTCTTTGCCGGCAGCGACGCCTGCTGCACGCCCGTGTATGAGTACGCTGAGATGAGGGCGGATCCCGTGGCTAAGGAAGGGGACCAGCGCCCCCCGGTTACGCTGCGCGACACGCCGTGCCTGGCCGTGAAAAAGGGCGTCTCGGATGATGCTAGTCATGGCCAAGGGCCCGGTGTGGAAGGGGAGGGATACATTGGCTATCCACTGGCGCCGGGAGAGGGAGGGGTAGAGACATTGAAGGCATGGCTAAACTGGACGAGGGGAGTTCACTTTGATGTTAGGGACGGTGGATTGGTGTTGAAGGACAAGGCTAGACTATGAGCGAAGGCAACTAGCACTGCCAGGCATGTTAACTATTGGATATAATGGATTCTTGAGAATTATCGTTCTGCTATCTGGGGGAATCTCATTGAATGATCCGTACGGCTGGTAGGCATACAACACTTCCAACTCCACCACCCAAAAATATATCTACCTTCAAGACACCAAACTCTCACTGCACTTGGCTGACAATCTCGCTGGCGCGCGACAGCGACTCGACCATCTGCTGGCACTCCTTCCTCCGCCGGATCGTATAGTCGCTCTCCTTCAGCAGGTCGTCGAGCTCGCTCTGGCGGTACATGTTCTCCAGCAGCTCCTTCTGCATCTCATCCTTTGTAAAGCTGAAGCGCGAAAGTGGTTAGCAACATGTCCTGCTTCTGCAACGGACCCGGTAACAATGTACCTGACAAGATTCAACATGATAGCTTTGGGAACCATATCGATCATGGTTCGCTTGACAATGTTGAAGTAAGACTGGATGAGGAGTTCTGTCCAGATCGTCAGTTCCGTTCGCCCACCAACATCTGAAAGGCCACTTACTGATCACCTCGACCTCAATCCCCTCGCGCTCCGACAGTGTGCCGGAGGCCTTGAGGGTCGGCGGTGGTGGCTCCATGGCTGCCGCCTTCTTCTTGTTCTTGGCGGCAAAGAAGCTACCAAAGAAGCCCGTGTTTGAGGAGTCGCCGTCCGAGCCCCCCAGCGTCGGACTGGCTGCTCTCGCCGGCGTTGTGCTCAGGGGCTTGCCGGTCTTTGGGTCGACCTGGACTGGCCGCGCGGCGTTATGCCTCTCGTTGACAATCGCCATAGCCTGCATGCTATTAGCCCAGTCGAGCCGAAACAAAGACAAAGTGGGTGCCTACCCTGTGGCCGTTCAAGAAATCAGGATGCCCAGTGTTGATATAGCAAGACTCCATAGCTACAAGATCCCGAACCAGCTTGGTAGTCGGCTCCATGGCCTTCTTGAAAAAGGCAATGACCACAGCGTGTATTTTCTCCTTCAGCTGCGGGTAGCGCCGGTACAGCTGCTTGCTGAGGAGCTGGGTTAAGATGCGCACGAGCTCGTCATAAACCAACGACGCGCACTTCAAACTCGGCTCCTCCAGCCGCTTAATTTGCTGCTTGACAATCAGCTCAAATGCCGTCGTGCCCACAAAGAGAGCCGGTGAGGAACCGGACGAATTGTACAGGATGGTGCGGATATCGACGTCTTTGACCTGGTCGAAGGGATCTACGGCCTTGACCCCATTCGAGTACAGCTCGTGGAAGACAAAGCTGATTCTGGCGCCTCCTGACAGCTCCGTGCTGGAGAGCTCCGTGTTGTTGCCATCCAAGACGGTGCGCCATTCGTTGGTGAACTCGGTGATAATATTCAAAACAATATTGGCGCTATTGCCAAGCATCGATGGCCCCAAAGACTCGAGTTCCTGCGTGTACTTCTGTAGCGAGCTGGAAATGCGGGCCTTAATGTCCGGCAAAGTCTGCTTTATGTGCATCATGAGAATCAGGTTCAGCTTGCGTGCCAAGTACGGTGTGCCGCAGTACGAGCTCTTGTTCCGGTACGCCTTGTGGTTCTCAAAGAAATTCTTCTCGGCCTCGAGGGCCGCAGTGATGGGCTTCTTGTTGTCGATATCTCTTTGCCCACGGTTCACGACCGGGACGTAGCCTAGTCGCAACGGGATAATGCGCCCAGCCAGAATATCGACAACGTCGGTGCCCTCATCCATCAGATCGACCTTGGTGAGCACACCAATTGTCCGCTGACCTTCGGGGTCTACCTCCCTAGCCAACTTCAGCCCGTCCGAATTGGCCAGATCAATATTGGCAGCCGTCACGGCCAGGATAATGGCATTGGATTTCTGAATGTACTTGAGGATCATGTCCCGGATCTGCCTCTCAATGTCGCGTGGCTGGTCACCAACGGGCACTCGTGTCAGGCCGGGCAAGTCGACCAAAGTGAGATTGAGGACGTTGGGGGAGAAGATACGGAGGTTGATCGGGGCAGGAGAGATGCCCGCATTCCGACCAACCTTGGCCTCGGTTTCTCTGTTAATCTCATCACGAATCTTGTTGAAGTCGTAGAACTTTTGGCCCGGGATATGTAGGAATTCGCCCCACTCTTCCGTATTTGCCGCCTTATCGGTGGTGTTGGTAATCTCCGAGTCGACGCCGTTCGCCTGTGCAGGCCTGTTGATAAGTTGGAGCACAAGGGGGCGGCGAGTGACGATGCCGGAGCCACGAGGTAGACTGTGGTCGAGCGCTGCTAGTTAGTTTATCGGCGATAGTGGGGCGAGCCAAAAGGGGCGAAAAGAGAGGGGGAGAAATGGGCAGCAGAAGGGAGGCATACAAGTCGCGGCCGACAATGTTTTCTAATACTGAACTCTTCCCGCTTGACTGGCTACCGACCACAACTATTTGGGGAAGATCGATCGGGTTGTTGACGCCGACAGTCGTGAAGACATCCTGAAGCTTGTTGACAAGTCTGTGGGGCACATGTCAGCGCCTGACGGGAACCCAAAGCGAGAAGCCAAGGAGTAAGTTTGGAGGTGAGTAGCCGTACTTGATCAGCCCGGGGTCAGAGATGCCGCCGGGGGTACTCAAAGTCCCAGGAGCATCGGCCGTCATGGTCGCGGGATAACAAGAGGTCCAGCGGTGGGTTGCTGTTGGGGGTAGCACCGGGTTGCGATAGGGCTGTTCGGTGCGCAGTTATGGGCCTCTGTCAGTAGAAAATCGCTGGCGCAGGTGGACAGATATTGCGATGTAGGAGACTGCGACTTCCTCGTTGATTTATTTAGCTCTCGAGAGTTCAGACCTGCGTCGGTGGAGGGCGGTCAGTTGCTGTGAGGCGTCGAAGTTGGATGTGGATGGGGATGTTGGAGGCTTGTGAATCTGATTCTGAGGTTGACCAGTCCCCTGTGTCCTGTGTCGGCATGAAGACCCGCAGCGTCACAGCCCCGGGGCACCGCACAGTAATCTACAGCAGGTACTTACAGTACAGAGCACGTGACTGGACATACAATACGTGATACCTTGGGGTTGTTGGCAGATGCGTAACGTCAGATCGTAATTGTCAAACCAGGGCAGCTCTTTTCCAGTTTGGCACCCGATGGGATGGACTTGCGACGACAGCCCGCGTTGTCCAGAGAATGCAAACTCTTAGTGCTATCTATGTCTGCCTAGCCCAGCGTTCCATGCCATGTCATCTCCATCGAGCACTCGTCATCTGAGGCCTCAGAAGTGACGCGTCGCATGTGCCCAAACGAGAAAGGGCGAGCTCGGGTCGACCTTGTGACAGTCGCCATGACACTAATACCTCTACTTGTGCTTGGGAGGTCAAGTGAAGCGAGTAGTGATGTATCAATCCATAATGATGGGGTTAACGAGCCCTCAAGCCAGGGTCAAGATATATCTTCCCCTGGCTGCTGCTCGACATACACCTAACCCGAGTGCATTCCTTATCAATAGCCTTCTTGCCCTTACCCACATAAAAGGACGACCGTGAAGCAGTATATACCCGAATCTCTCGAGTTCGCCGTCCCATGCTACTAGTATACTCCAGTTCCAACCAAAGCAGAACATTCTAGACAATGTAAGCGCCTTGCTGCCCGACATTTCCGTCATCCACAATCAAGCCCATACTCCTTCCGAGTACCGGTTGTTTCCGTTACTCGACTCCCTGGACTCGCCGTTCAATTGTCGGCCCGCCTCGGCGAGTTCCTTGATCTGTCGGGCTTCCTGCGCCATTTCCTTTGCTCGCTCTTTGTTCGACCAGCTGAAGAAGTAACGTCAACAATACAGAAATCGGCATCAAACAGGGGTTGCAAAACTCACATCTTTATCCTGCCGTCGTCTCCGCACGTGGCGAACGTGCACGGATCGGCCGGATTCCACGACACCGAGTTGCAACGGGGATGATGGGCGTCGGCTTCGAACACCAGGGTGCCTGTCATCTTGTGCCAGATGAGGACCCGGCCATCTGGTGCCATCTCCGTTAGCCACGTCTTGCTGCTTCAGAGTAGTCCGTCTCTTCAGCACCGCAGCTTACCTTCACTGCCACTTATGACAAAGTTCTCGTTGGCACCGCCGAAGCCGCTCCGAATGGTGAATTCGCCGCCGACGAGGCCGCTATACTTTACCACGGTGTCCCGAGTCTCAATGTCTATTAGCACGGCCTCATTATCCGTCTTGGTGACCAGCATATATCTCGAGTCACGCGATATGCTGAGAGAACTGGGCCGGGCATTGACCATCAGATCGTAGACGTGTTCTCGGTTGCCAAAGTTGTAAAGGTGAACGGTGCGTTGATCGTCCATGGCGGCCAGCCAGCGCTGATCCGGCGAGAGCGCAATATCCTCAGTCCTATGCGAAGTTGTCCATGTGTGAATGCGGTCACCATGGAGGTTCCACGAGCAGAGAGACCTGGACTTGTCGAAAGAACCCGTAACAAACGTCTGGCCATCGGCGGCCCAGACACAGCTGCTGACAGGTTCGTCAAATCTTTCCAAAACTTTGATCAACTTGCCGGTCTGCAGCCTTCAATCAGCGACTAACTCTGGCCGACAATCAGGGGCTGGCTCGTGTATGGACACTTACCAGCGGATCAAATATCCTAGCAAAGTGATTTTTACTGCAGGTCAGAATGAGTTTGCTGTCAGGACTCCATGCGAGGTTGCCGATCTCGCCCGCTGGATGGAGCAAATCGCTCAATAAGGTTGATGTGATCGGATCCCAGATTCTGACCTTGTTGGACGAGCCACAGGTGGCCAAGTACCTGCCGTCGGGTGAATAGCGGACCTGCCAGACCTCCTCCTTTGACCCTTCTTGATCTGGTTTGGATAGCTCCATGACAACCTCGGATGGGAACAAGCTTCTGTCGCATGAGTGGTCTGCATACAGAGAAGGCGGTGCATTGCTTATGTGGTAGAGACAGTTCTCCACCTGGATCCTCTTGACGTTGTCGAGAAGAACCGCCAATCGGCGAGGAGGGAGCATGACGGACGGGGACACGCATTCTGCCAGAAAATATGTCAGCCATGTTGCGCAAGCACCCACGTAGGCACGACGTCTGCGAGCTGACCTAAGAGCTGCGTTAACAAGATGTGCCGAGAGCGGCCATTCGCTCCATCCCAGTTGGCCTTGGCTCTGAGATCCTCGGTATCTTGGCACATGAGGAACCTTGAGAGGAGATGTAGAGTCTGGTGCTGCTCGGAAACGAGGGGCGTAAGTTCGGTCCGGAGCACAGCTAGGGCCCGGGCCGTTTCTCGCTGTTCTAGAAGCTCGAGGAACTTTTGTTGCCTAAGCCAAAACCTCATAGCATTGCGATCCGCCCCCGGCGCCAGCACAAGACCATCCTCAGAGCCCCTTCCCCAGAGCAGCTCCTCTGCCCTGCTCCAGGAACCGTTCAGTACAGCTTGCCGAAAGGCAGCCACGTCTCGGCTCTCGACCTCAAAGCCGCTCTCCTCTCCTACGCTCCTTGCCGCTTCATGGTAGCCTAGATCGTCCAAGGCTTGTATCAGAATGCGCGTGATTTCCTCGCGGTCATGGCCATAGTAGGTAGGCGGTGCTCTGTGTACGGGCCCCCCATTAGCCCTAGAAGTGTTCATAGCGGTTTGCGATGGATTGTGTGTTGTACTCGAGGCCGCGTGGTGCAGCTCGCCCTCGGCCCGGGATCCGTTAGATACCACCCGTGTAGCTCGCCTCGATGACTCTTGATCCTCGATCTCGGTCAGCATGTTTTCGTGGCGCCTCCGCTTCTGTGCTGCTCTGGAAAGGACTGCGGCTGCCGAGTAGCTGTCTGCGTCTCCCTCCTCTCCCTCCTCAGACTCGTCCCTTTGTCTCCTTCCGAGTATCTGCGTCGGCGTCCGCGAGGATGATGACGACAGGGCGGCGGCTCGGGGCCCGGACCCAGCACGTGAGGAACGGCTGGACACGGAGGACGTCTGGTTTGGGCTCTGCAGCTGCAGCGGAGGGAGATGAGGTGGGGGAATCGGCACCTGGGTCGACAGAACCGCGTTTGAAGATAGTGATGGTAACGATAAGGATGGCGGGTCAGAAGTGGACGGGGTATATATGGACTGGATGGGGGTCTGGTCTGCCACGGCGAGCGAGTTAGAGACCGCGGGGACCGATTCCCGTTCCCGCGGAAGGTCAGAAAAAAAGGGATCGTTTCTGGTCGCAGAAGCTGACGAGAGAAGGGCGAGAAACTAGCGTCGTCGATAAGGGAGCTTGGGCGGCGAAACCTTCATGGCCCTGTCACGAAGCTGCAGCTTAAGATGTGGTGAATCTGGGAATGGCCGGCAGAGCTTCCCGATCCGTCGTAGAAGTGCCGTCACTCCGGCGTCTGACCGTGGGGCAGGTGAGCCCGACACTCGCACTGTGTATGGAGCGCTCAGGCTGGATGCATGCAGCACTGGCAGCCCTGGAGCTGCAATCTGTATCGACGGGCAGTATGTATCAAAGGCTCGACCGAGGTCGTACTTTATCGTGTGCTAGAACTGTACTGTACGGTAGTAGTGTCGGTGAGTTATGGCATGGAAGTTCCACCATGCTCGAGTCGCTAGGTACCGATGTAGGTAGTCGCTGCCTTTGATTGCTGTAGTTAAGCGACACGGGATGAAGGAAGCTGGGAGCACCTCAAAGAAATAATTCTCAAAGCACCGACTCCGGCCAGTTCCATCGGGCGAGAGGCTGGGATCCGAGTCGAAATATACTTCCCATCGATTGGAGTCATTGGACCCTTACTGCACAATTGGCACATCAGCAGTCTTTTGGATAGGTAAGGTAGGGGACCCGACGTTATCGATTGGAAGCCTGAAAGCCGATGATCTGGCCGCTGGCATGGACTTTTTGCCCTAAGCTTCGAGCTCCCGCATGTGCTGCTGTAGGCTGCAAACGCCAGGACAAAGCGGGTCCCAGGGGGTAGTAGGGTACCTTGCGCGCGCGCAACAGGCAGTCAGGCCCAACAGCCAGTCGAATTCCTAAAGCTGTTGATATTGGCCAAATATGCCCAAAAACGCGTTTTCTAAGGTTTTTCGTCAATTTTATCGAATTCTATACATTTTATAACCCTATTAAGTAAGCCGGCTACAACACCTACAACATACACATATCGTGTGACGAATCTCGGTCCCCTACCACTGAAAGGGACTCCTCAGACTGAAGGTTGACTTGAACGGGGTGAGGTTCAGTAGAGCCAAAGGGTCTACAACAAGTGCACAAGCAAGTGTTCACACAGTAGTAAAGACAACTGCTTGCATTGCTTACTGGAGAACCTTCAGGAGGTCCTCCAACGGAAGAGACTATTTATCTAATATACTAATGATTGTCTTTGAGAATCACTCCCTTCCCCGTGATCCTTCCTTGTGATGCTCACCAGGCTCACCGTGAGCCTTTCATTGTTGTTGGTAATCCCTTATACCTGGATCACTACGCCAAGCATGATCCTTTTCCTATTGGTTACTTAAATGATTGGTCGTCGCGGCTTCCCGCGCTGCGACTGCGCCCACGCCTGGCCGTCAGTACGGTCATTTCATGACATATATATAGCTCAATCTTCTACCGAATCAACCACCGAACCTACCATCGCTGTTAGGTCGATTTTAAAACGCTTAGGAAGTAATAGAAGACCTTCTTATCCAATC